GGGTCCAACGCAGCCAGAGGGAGGGGGGCAAAGAGTGGGCAGGCTATACGAACTACTCTGCTAAGCACATATACTACTAGAGTATGAAAATAAAGTGGTCGGAAAACGCCAAGCCATCGTTTCTTGTCTTCACTGCTAAGACGTACAGTCAATAAGTCTACACAGTGCAGTGTGTAGTACTGTACATGCATACACGTCCTCCCAGCGGGATGATTCAGTCGGGAGCCTCGGGATGAGATTTCCCACCTGTTGTTGACTCGCTCCGATCCCCCCCCCCCCCCCCGCCCTTTTCTTTCCCTCTGGACAGTCCGCAGACAGAATGCCCTCTTCACTTTCCCTCAGCGTTTCTGGCTTTCACCTCCTCACTAAACGGTGATACGATGGGAAACGATAAGAGCCTGCGTGGGTTAAGAGGGATTGGGAGGGAGGGGAAATGGGGGTTTCCGTTGTTCGAGTTCGGATCTTTCACGGAGACTTTCCCTTGTACCCTAAGCGGTACCGGTGACCTGGTGTTGTTGTCCGCAGCCAGCGGATCTATACCATGACCCTCGCTCTTCACCTCCCCTGCCGATGACCGGCCGAATCGCAGGCAATTATTATAGCTAGGGTCTCTATAATTATGCCCGGCGCGAGACCCAGGGGATCTGAGCGTCTTTGCGCCCTCCCCTGCCCCCCTCATCTCTTTCTCCCCGAGTAGTCGCGACCTTAACTACGTACCCTCTCGACTAGTAGCAGACTAAACAGCACCTTGTTGGAATCAAATCCGAACAGGGACAGACGATGCAGCTTTACATGCATGTCGGACCAATCCCCACCTCCTTCCTTTTTCTGGGCCGAAAGAGTAGCCACTGCATCGTTTGATGCTGTTGGAGTAGCGAAGCTGCAATTAGGATTCGCCCGGTGAATTTAAGATACTAGGAGTACGCAGCTATCGCCCTTATTGCATTGGAGGTCATTGATGTATCGAATAAGGAAACGGCGCCGTTCGTCGGAGAAACAGAACGGCGAGTCTGAACCCGGACCTATGTCTGTGTCTCCGAACGGGGAGAAGAAAAGGAGGGAGGGATACGGGGTAGAGCGACTGGAGTGAAAAAGCAAGGGACCAACCTACCAGCCACTGGCAATCCCGACGGAATGATCGCACCGTGCATCGTAACTGTAGAGCATGTTGGTGTTCAGTCGGTGTCCCTGTGCACGGCGGGGCGGGACCATGCCATGGGACACACTTCGTTTCGGGCAGTCCGTCTGGTCCGGACGAGAGACACTGCTCCCCCCCCCCCCCACCCCCTTTTTACACCCCCTCCCCCCCCCCCCCCAACCCTCTTTTAATCGAATAGGACGGACCACCGCCCGGTCAAGCACATGGCTTGGAGCCAGTCCTTGACAACCGCTCAAATTTAAGGTTGCTGTCCTCTTTCCTCCCGAGCACGGTGGTGGGTGTGTGGGTTTAGTGCAGGTAACCAGGCGTAGATGAGTCGACGTCAAGTCCCCAAGCTTCGCTCTAAGTATGGCGATGGCCACCAGATCATGACATAACCTTTTCTTGCATTGGATCTCTTCACAGTTTGAGAAGGTGATCAATGCTCCCTGGCTTTCCGTCACCGGATGAGTGGAAGCTTGATGTTGGGTGCGTTCGGAAAAATCCCCCCCACAAAAGCTGCAGCTAACCTCAAGGCAGCAGGTGCCTGTCCAGTAGCAGGCAAGTAGCAAAAGCATACAGAAGAGAGGGGGGGAAACCATGGGAGGACCGTCCTCCGGGACAGTAGTCAGTCTACTGTACTCCATACCATGCACTGACTGCTGTACTACTTTGCTACTTCACCGAGAAGGCTGAGCTGCCCGAACTCCCTAACTTACCCGAGCCCGTGTATGACCCGGTAATCTCACTCGGTAATGTCACGCTCGTCACACCCGTTTCAAGCGCGTATCACCCGGAGAAAACAAGCATTGACAACCGGCGGCAGTACTGTACACAAGCTGTTGGCATGGAAGGGAGAAATGGCCACCCACGCTACGATTGTAATCCCTACAGCCGCAACCCCTCCCTTTTGTTCCACTCCCACTGTCTGGAATATTAATCAATGGAGATTACCACGATTCAGGTTGATGAATGCCGATCCACCCTGCACGGCGGGTCATTGCTAACTTTACCTCGAACACAAGCCCAGCGTCTAGAGGCAAGAGAGGCGCGGCCTAGACAGACAGACGCATCAGTCTTGAAGCAGTCGAATTGGCACCCCGGTCGGCATCGTAGTCTTCCATGGCCAGATCCCCGTTCGGATATGCAGCTACTAGATCGCGTCAAGAAGAGTACCCGAGTCGGTTCGAGCTCTGGTGATAACAGATCAATCCATCTTGGCTCGACAGCTATGGTCCAGAGTAGTGCTGGGACATCCCGGCTCAAATTAATGATGACGCTGGTGATCATCGTCCTTAACATCATCGTCATCCTTCTCGAGAAAGGGACCCATTCGCATCTCCGAAGCACAGTGCACATGGCGGTGTCAGAAGCACGGAGCAAGAGTCGGCCACATCCACCCCCGTCATCCCAACCCCTGCGGTGGCGAGACCGGCGGAGCTAGGCGTACTGTAAAGAATGGAGACGAGATGTGATAGATAGAGCCAGGCCCTGGCCAGGACGTCCACGGTGACCGTTACGTAGCCCCTCATTGTCGGTCTGTGTCGAGTCCGGGGTCCCAGTGAACAAGACGGGCAAGAGAGCACAGGACTTCTGTCTGGCTACTGACTACTGCCAGACGGGCCATACCGTCCCCATTGTTCCAAAAGACAAAGTTCCTAGAGCACGTTTTGTTCCCTTTCGGCCCCACGCGAGGAACGACCGCGAGGTCCACCGCGCTAGTGCTTGATAATCGGTGTCGACCACGCTAAACGACCCATAATGGACCAGAGATAAGAAGTCGCAGATAAGCTGATAAGAGTGTAATTAGCCTTGGTCATCGGGACCAATCGTTGTCCGGGTAAATGAGCTAGGCAACATAATCGTGACCTCGGCTTCTGTTCGACCAGCATCAATCAAAAGTACAGAGTACAGTACTGCACCAAGCGACCGTACGCGGACAGCGGGGGGTGGGGGTGGGGGTGGGAGGAAGGCAACATAACATAACAGTTCACTGGTATTCAGCACAACATCAGCAGAGGAAGAAGGCAGAGGATCAGCTCACATGCTAAAAGAGGTGGGTGGTGTGTGCAGGTGGATAATTTTGCCCCATGGCACGAGGCATCTGTCGTTCCGCAAATGACATGAGTGGGCGGGTGAAGTGGCAAAGGCAATTATAGAGTTCGGCGCTGGAAGAGGAAAGGGAGGCGAAGGTCAACCCGCAGTAGAGGAGTGTTTGGACTGTTTGGACTGTTTGTTGGATGGCTGACTGGTCCGTTCGTCTTATCTCCGGATGACTAACAAGTGGTTCCTCGGAGCGAGGCACCCACCTTCAGCTTCAAGTTCCATCATCCATGACTCGAGATCGCGGGTCAGATCAACCACCACCACCTTCCCATCAACCTCCGTCATCCCCCGTCAACCCTCCGTCAACCACCAGAGTCAAACTATCCAAGAGGCGTCCAATGGCAACTCACCATCCACTATAAGATAGTCCGTATAGCCTGGGCGGCAGGGATCCGAGACGACAGCCACGCAACCAAGCACGGCTTAGGGCTGTTCCCTTTCTCGTCCGGATGCAGCTTTCCAACTTCCGACGGCACCCTGGATCAACACACTGACCAACTGGACAATTGGGCGTGCCTGGGTCTAACCCGCTCGAGTAAGTCCACTGTCGTAATAGCATGCCTCAAGCCTGGTCGACGTGATCGGGATCAACCTTCGGCAGGTTTGGATGATTGTTTCAGGGGGGGATTGTCGGTTAAAGCTCCCTTGCCGTGTGTGAGGCAAAGTAACGCCCCCCCCCCTTCCAAAAAAAACATCATGCAACATTCACCACGGACAATCAAGCAAGGACGCCACCGACCGGAGGTAATTGACTCAGGAGAAGGCAAATGTAGACTTTACCCAGCGTCGAGGGATGATAGTTCATCCGTCCATAATGTATAGCGATAGACGGCTCAGGTCCACTTCCGGGAGGTCGAACACTATGGGACTTTCGTCATTGCTGCTGGATGACGGAAGCACGAGAAAGGGAAGGGAAGGTGGAAACCGGCTGGTTGTACGGAGTACGGAGTACCCCATAAGTTTACCCCCTCCCCCAAACTAACCCGCTCCCGAGATGCTGAGCTTGATCCGCCATCTCACGCATCCTTTCATCCTCTCCAAACCTTCAATCAGCTGCGGAATGCCTAATCCAGGAATCCTTTGCTTGGCAGACGGGTTGATGGAGGTGGAGTGTGACAGAGTTCATCTGGTCATCCTGTGTCGGTTGCACCATGAGGACGAGGATGGCTCGTCCTCCTTGGACCTCCATAGAAGGCAGCCAGGTTTGTTAAATGCTGACTGCAGGATTGGTCAAATTGGTCAGATGCTTACCTACTTACTTACTCGTACATGATGCGGCTGTCGCGGGCGCACTTGCAATACGAAGCGATAGGTTCAAAGTCGGCTTCCGAGCGCCCGACCTGAAGCTCTGTAGGCGGCTTGATCAACATTCCAGGACAGTGACCTCAGGGAGGAGGACGACTAGGCGTGACGTGACCAAAAGGGAAGTGTCTTGACAAAAACCCGTCTCAACCTTCAGAGGAATTTAGGCTGACGGGTGGTGGGGTGGATGTGCAGCGGTAGTGGACTGTAGTTAGAGGATATAGTCGATGGCTGGATTGGCGAGCCGTAATGGATTGGATCTGGATGGGGTAAAGTGTGGGAGAAAGTGTGGAGTAGGCCGTGGTGCATAAGAGAAGATAAAAAGTATCCCATGGATGTCAATGATAGACAATCCGACCTCACAAGAAGGCATTGAGAGAGGAAGAAAAGGCCGATGCAGCCAAAAGAGTGCCCAACAACAGCATCCACCTTCTGCTCGCAATTGCCCCTTTCAGTTTCCCCTACAGGAAACCTCCATCGAGTTCATCCATCACCACTTCAAATGGCGGTCAGGGCGAGCTTGAAACACAGCCACTCGCTCACTCAAGAGACACAGGAAGGAAAATGAGATTCACAAGCCCGGGATGGGCCTGGATTATGTACTGCAGTGCTCACCTTTTTTTGGCCGTCTCAGTCGCCGAAGGTTTCGATCGCCTTGATAACTCTGCAGATTGACATCCGTTGAGGACGGCTGTCAAGATAAGGAACCACGTCTAACATTTGGGTCGTACCTGCAACCCTGCAATCTGTCCTCACAGTCATCAATCAGAAAGGGGGGTTGCGAGTGAGACAATCGAATCACCGTCGTGGAATGCCCTATCGATCGACCGGGGCATGGCTGAAACTCATTGTTATCATCTAAACAAGTGTCGAAATTCATCTCCTCCTGCCCGAACTCCGAGAGCGCCGATAAAGTGAGGCTATTTGACTGGTGGTTTCGAACCATCTCCTCTTTCTTTCTCCGCATTCTCCGACCCCAGACCAGTTGCCGAGGAAAATCCTGGAGAGAGCCCTGTCCGTCCTCACGAACGTGATTTCTGTTGCCCTTGGGGTATCGGGTAGATTCGCATCTCGATGAACAAAGTGTTAGTTCCAGTTCGAGAAGCAAAAAAGAGCAGCCAGTCGCCATGGTGTCTTTATAGGCAGGCTGCTTCTCGCTTTCCCCCGGGCCACCCTCCATCACAATCGCGATTCCATCACCGAACCTTCTTATCACGACACCACCCACTATCAGCACGGAGTCTAAAAAACCTTACTTTTTTTTTTCTCACTTGTTTCATCTTAATAATCATTTCTCCTGCCTTGTCAGCCAGTCACGCGAGCGCGATTTTCAACCGCTGCGCATCATTGCGATAAGCACACTACCTTTCTGGTTGTGATCATTGGCACAACGGGCTGGATGATTGTTATCAGGTTATCAATCCTTTCCCCGGAATCCGTGTTCAGTCCCGAGCCGTGATTGTGATTGAGGATCGAATCTTCCTATAGCGACAGCTTAGTTCAGATCACCATTACAGAGGGTGCTTTGTCTGTCAATCGCTACCAATCACTGTATAGAGATTGTAGGATAAGGCGATAGTGGCGATCGATGTTGTGATTGTAGAAAAAGCAATATACATATGATGTAAGGACTCATGATAAGGGCCAGTCTCCTGATTCATAAGTCTTGGAGACATCCACCTTCGGCCTTCTTTGGGCGGAAAGTGCAAATGTTTAGGTATGCTCACTCCGATGTGTTGTACAGGTTTGGCGTGTCTCATTGTCTCATTGTGAATGTGGCTCCATAGCCCTACGGCGAAGTCGATCATCGGCGGATGATGTAATGACAGGGTCAACTTGACTCATCCTTGGCAGGTCCAATCACTAGCACTTGGGCTATCGAGAGGATTCTCTACCTACAAACCACAGGATCCAAGCCAATTCTCGATATAGACCTGCTATAGCAACTTATTTATGAGATTCTGAATGGGAAGGTTTAAGTGTGCGGATCTATATTTTCTGAGTATGTTCGGGATGCGGGAATCTTTATCTCGAAGCTAAACCGTTACTAGCTCAAAGTAGCTAGTAAGTTAACTATAGATGCGACACGACCCAGCCCACGGATTCAACAGATTCATACCCGGTGCCATGGAACTATATCTTTGAGAGTTGAACACAGACGACTGTACGAAAGAAAAAGCCTTTCCACGGGGGCAGAAAAGAGCGAAGCCGAGCTGAAACAAGTCTTCTATCTCACTATGCCGACATTGCATCCCTCAACATATATCCGGACATCGCTTAATCCAAAATGCAAGCGGCTGGCTCCGACCAGCCATCAAACCAACAATCCTACCCCAAACCATCTGAAGTTCTTTATTCCACTGATCTGGCAGTCCTGTCAGCGTTCTTGAGTAACCAGGCCTCGTGATCCGAGGCGATTCACCAAGAGAGTCGTCCACCTTGAGATCATAGCTAGTTCATTAACCAACAACCGAGGAATCGAAAAATCGTTCCATATCACCCATCCCCGAGTCTTCAAAATTCGCTGCAAGTCCAAGCCACTTGCACGAATCGGAACTGCAGTTTCGCGTCCAACCGCAAACTCTGTACCGCGTTGACGAAGAATGGATTCGCTCTTGCACAGGCGGGGTGCGAGCACTGACCAGCCGGATGTCACCATGTGCGCTAGAGGAAGATCCGTCACTATGTGTTCCTGGTACAACCCCTATCACTACTTCTCAAGGGCTAGGGATCCTAAGATCATAGGTAAGACCAAATCCAACCAACGTGCGGGAACCACGGCTATCATATTAACCGTCCCGTGTTGTGGGTTTATAGTAGCCAAGCCACAGCTCCCGATGATATAGAGTTGCTCGGCTATGGCACAAGCAATTGATTCCGACCGGGAGGCAACATAGCGGCAGCAGCAGTGCGTTTGCTCGTCGACGGTACTGCATGGTCTGTCATCAACATCCTCTCTCCCTCTCCCTCTCTCGCGAAAAGGCGATCCGTAAATTCTTGGGTTCTCCTGAGCGAGTATAACACCAAGAGCTCATAGTCCTCTCGGATACAGGATAGATGAGTGCCGGGCACGTCAATTCAGTATCTTGACCCATCCTCTTCACGAGACCCCAAGCCCCAAGGAAGCTCATGGAAGGGGCCGCCACGATACGGGAAACATCTCAAGAAACAAACTCTGGATACAACAGTCACAGTCCGATACGGCCAGACTACATTAACATAACTGCGAATACATATCATCATCAGGTGAACGGTACATTGTACATGCACAGTTGATGGATGCTCCGCCACCACAGCCACCCAGTGCATAGAGACAATATGTTGGAAACATAGCCATCGCAGACCGATACAAGGTTCGAACATGAATGTTCGTGCAACAGTTCCGAGTCATATACGAGCTGCCTCGTCGGCCATGCATTCCTGTGTAAGGGGGTATGATGTGCACCGGAGTCGTTCTATAGTGAATGTTTGCAACAATGTCAGGTGAATGATACATGCTGGACCGAAGAGTCGCGTATTAGAATAATAACCCAGAAAGAATAGAGCGTCTTGTGCTCTGTTGGAGACTAGAGGAGATAGTTTACCCACGTATATGATAACGACTCGAGACTGGACACGGATGCTCTGATGAAGAAAGGCTGTCTTGTGGCTGATTGAAAGTGAGACAGACGAATTTAGATAGCCGTGTTCACCCACACATCATATACAAGAAAGGATTCTACGATGGTATTGGCAGATTAACACTCTTACCAAGATACATCATCGAGAGAACCAACTCGCCCTATGCTGAAGGGACTTTCGAGAGCATACGAGGGTGTAGCTATTTGTAAAAATTGATCACCAAAAAGTCGATAGTGACCTGCAGACTCAGTTCGATAGAATGTGATTGAACTTTCACACCAGTCAGCAACATCCGTCACACAAAGTTCAACAGAGGTACTGTACATCCCCCCAAAAACACAGATAGGCAGGTATGAACTGCCTCACCATCATGATCGGTGATGAGTGTCGAAGCCAAGAAAGCACCTCAGTGCTGCTCTGATGCACCAACCTCAGCCACGTTGGTGGGCCAGAAGCCTCGCTTGCTCTGTGAGGTAAAGATTCCTGCCTGGAACAGTTTCGAAACCATGTCCGTCCATCCTACCGGCTCTACTCGCGCTCAGCGCGAGGTTCCATAGCGCAACACCGCAGAGTCCAGGCAGACTCCGTAGAAGTGCACCCACAAAATCATGCCACAACACAAAACTACTCCATGCCCTTACCACTGCAACCCAGTCGGGATATCATGCATCATCAAAGCCTGAGGGACAAAGGCGTACCGTACCGCATTAGACCCTCGCTAGACCTAACCAACAAACCGCAACCCTTCCTACTTTACCACAGCTCCCTCTCCACGCAGCCTCATTATGCCCGATCAGGATTTATCGACTCGAGTGCCCTTCGCAGGCTATGTGTATGTCCCCCTGACGTATCTATGTCTCGATGACTTCGCTCCACGCGACAGAGAAAAGGTCTCGGGCGGATCTCGTCATCGATCGTAGTTGTCGCGCGGACACAGCGGACGGAATATCGAACACATCGGAACGTTGCGCTCGAAGCATGATTCACAGGCAAGTTCCTAGACATTCAGCCGAGACCGACATAGCATATACCCAAGCAAGAAGTCCATCCTCTTCCACTCTATCAGTGTCCACCAGCCGATAGGAAGCAAGACAGCGACGCTGATCCACGACCATTAGACCGTCACATCAAAGACAGGGCCCCTCAACACAGATGATCACTCACTCACCAGACCTGACCACACTTGACCTGACCCGACCACTGTCAGCATCAAGAAACCGCCAGAAAACTTGACGTCAGTCCGCGTATGCCCCATAGAACCACCCCCGATCCATCTTGATCCTAACCAGAAAATCAAGCTCTCGACCCATGACCATGTAGATCAATACACCCAGTAAACCACCACCTGCAAGAGAAGAAAAGAGCAAGTCGAAGAGCCCCATCGCCTTTGGTGGAAGATTTAGATTGCTGAGAAGCGCCGGCTTTTGTTCCTTTGACGGTTTCATCCTCAGCTGACATGGAGACGTCAGGGTCACGAGACATGGGATCTCGTTGATCTTTTCAAGGACTTGACCAGGGATGATGGGTATTCGCGGGGCCGAAGAAGGTGAAAAGTGGCTGGATCATGATTCGGGAGAAAACCCGCGCCCTTGAATCTCTCTATCAAGCTTTCCCTATGTCGTGTTCTAGCAGGTTTGGCGACAATTTTTTTCGGCTGGGACCGGGCACCAAGATCGTTGCTTCGATACCAAATAGAGACTCGCTTGTCTGTCTCCCCGAGCAAGAGATGGAGCGAACAGATGACGTGCAAAGATCGAAGTTTTTTTTTTTTTTTCTTTCTTTTTTACGTTGTGCTGCGTCGCTTGCGTGTAAGCATTCTGCGGAGCGAATGAGATAGCATGCCGAAATCAGAATCGTAGCACTCCTACTGCGAAGGACTGTACCTAGTACAGGTAGCGCACATCCAATCCGCGTGCGAGGCGCTGCAATATACGGTGAGCGGAAAGGACTGAGTCAGTGGTGCAGTTGTCCGTCCCATCTTGCTGACAGGCTGATGGGCAGCTAACTTCTCCTCCACTATTCTCAGGAGATACGGTCGGTTATCAAGTCATTCATCTATATTCATGATGAGAGGGATGTCAAGAGACACAAACGACAGTCGTTTGTTCTACGCATGTGAAGCCTGAAGGTACGTTTAAGAACTGGTGAGGACGAGGGGTGATGTAATCTATGTATGTGCAGGTCCAGGTACTTTGAAGTTGACAAGGCACCTCAATGCAGCCTGAGTACTGGGTGTATCTGAATATGCTGGTCACCCATTAGCCGTATCGTAGCTACCATCTCAAGCCCAAGCCCAATCATCCAGTCATTCGAGACCATCACCATTCACCTCACCTCATCTCCACCAAACGACAGTGTCAATCTCGAACATCGCAATACATCCCACGCAAGCTTCAGCGCCGAACATCTATACCAAACCCGAACACTCAAAGAGACGCGCAAATCCATCACGGAGGGAGCGGAGAAACCCCCCCGGGTTTCCGGATTAGGGAAAGAAAGAATAATGCCGCAATCCTTTTCCACCTCCCTCCCTCCTCGTACTCCTGCTCATCTGTGCAGCAAGTATACTTGTGGTCTCGATGGTAGCATTATTGGAAAAGCCGCAGAACCAAGTCTATCCCCGATTTGCGGTATTATCCGGAAACACACCTGAAGTCATAGAAGCTCTTAACCACGAGGGGACTAAAGGCAGAAATCGCGCAGCCACCCACAGCACCTATCACGATGAAAGGGCCCTCATCTCTCCTTGTCCCCCCCCCAATCCGTATAGTTTTTTTTATTAGGGTAAAACTGGACTGTTTCACCATGGGCGGCCACTTGTCTCTATTGGGGTTTACTCGACTGCATGTCCGTTGTTGAGGGCTGTGGGTGGACCGGGGTCCTTACGTGTTCTGCATCTCGATGGTTGATGATAGGAGGGTCATTGGGAGGACAGATGCTTGATCAGTAAAGGTGTAGAACCCGACGCTGTTGACCTGACTGTCTATCTTTGCTTTTGCTTTTTCGTTTATTCTTTGATGCTGGTCTCCATTCTAGGTGTATTGGCCATAGCTTCATATTGCTGCAGATAACCAAGCTATGCTTCTGGGCGGGGAGGAGGGTCCAAATCGTTTAGGTGTGCTCTACCTTTTTCGTTTGTTTTTTTCTTTTCTTTTTTTTTTTTTTTTTTTTCCCCCTCGCTGCTTCTTTCCTGCCCAATCCCAATGGGTTGGGAGCGCATTGCAGACGAATGGGCTTGTCGACCATAAGGCAGCCAGGGTATCAATCTACTAGTCCACCACAATCAGTTTAGCGGTGTCAATCCGCCTTTCTCCATCTAGACTGCCACGAGACCAGGCTGTGGCTTTTCTCCACCGTCGACGGCGACACCAAGAGTGGGTTCCTCATCGGCTCCAAATTAAACCGATCCGTGTTTTTTTCGGGGACTTTCTGATGAGCAGCGGATCACTTGCAATCTATCTACAGTGATCTCCGAGAAGAAAATGAAGGAGGAAAGACCCTGAGCCTCCGGAGGGGCAGTGGATGGTGGATGGTGGATAGATACTGCGTAGTACGATGAACGTTCAGCATGGAGCCTGCACGAAGCCTCTGAATGGATTCGGGTGGCGCTCGACCGTTTCGGAAAGGAGGGGGGGAAAAGCATCTCGTTCCGAGATGCACCCACAGGTACAGTACGTACTGGGCAGAGCACTGGGCAACGGTCGTGTTCAAGGAACACCTGGAGGAAATGATCCATTGAGGCAAAGGCAATCTAGTGGTCTTCTGATTGGAGGGAGGGAACGGTATTTCGGACATGGCGTTCCTCAAATGTTCGGTGATTGGCACAGACCAGAGAAACCGGCGGTGACTGGGTAGGGTAAGGTAGCGTAGGGTAGGGTACCAGCCCAGGTACAGTAGAAACCTAGGGTTCAGGCAGGAACAGTTCCGAACTGATGGAAAAGCCATCATTGGGAAATGACAGCCTCGCGCTGGGTGGAAGACTGCCAGGTGGGAAAGGTCTAGCCTGGCCGAGGTATTGTTGCGGCGCATTTGAATAGTGGTCCTCTCTGCAAAGGACGCACCCATTGTCGGTCGGGTGGGCCACCAGAGGGGCTGTCATTGGAGGTATGGGAGTATTGGAGTATGAGGGGAATCTTCAGTCTCGGAGAATTTCATTTCGCATGGCCTAGCCTGGACACTTGGACAGCCATGCTGCCATTCATGTTTAACTTAACTCGCATGTCTTAAGTCCCTGCAGGAGCCAAAAGACCTGTAACTTGCAGGTGCCAACCAAAATGCGTCTATCAACGATATGGCAGCTGAACCGTGTCCAGAGCGGAGGCAGCGAAAGAGAGCAAGAGAGCGAAAGAGGGGCGGGGGAATAGATCAATGAGGGAACCAATAAGAAATAAATCCGGTTAAAGTGCCTACGCAGTGTCATGCCAAGTGTGATGATCAGATAAAGGTAGGGAGAACTGGTTGGTTCCAAGAGATAGACTGAGGAGAACTGGTTTCAAGTTAAGCAAGGGAGGATGTGGGAAAATGTGTGGGATTGTGGATGATGTGGATGATGTGGAAGCAGCAACACTTGGTGAGTACAGGCAGGTACGGAGCACTCACTACTCCCACTGCACTGCAAAGAGCGCACACACACACACACACACACACACACACACAGCCACTAAACTAAAGTGGGATCAGCACAGCTTCGCTTACGTGTATATCCGCTGCCCGATCCCGCTAGCGACGCAGAAATGGACCAAAAGAGAAATATCCACGCTTCCCTCCGCCAGTACCTGGCATCTATCCTCGGGGCTTATGACTATCATGCTGAATTCAGTAAATGGGGTCCAGCTTCATTTGGTTGACGAGCAAGACGATGCCATATTACTGCTCAATTGCCTCCTGAGTCCTGATGTTCTTGTGATGGCGGAAGACGAGATGGGTTGTATCCGGCAGTCTCTATGGTCCCCCGTACTGTGGATCTAAAAATAGTAAAGCACACAGTGGCATCATCACCACCATCGCCATCATTAGGTATTACTGAGACCTCCAACAGTGTGCATACGTACCTCTCTCTCCGCCGCCAGTAGCAGGGCCTTCAGCTCGGATCCAGCTTACGATCGGAAAAGTAGGCTAAGGGCGGATTTGACCGACTCATCCATGGCTACCGCCAGAGATGATGATTAGGAAGGTTTCAGAAGGACCCTGAACAATTGCCGGTGAATACGATCCTAATCTACTCAAACCCGCCCTTCGAGAAACAATGCCTCCATTTCTCTACTGTACAGGTACAGTCGTAGTGTCCTCCGTACACCTGCAGCATCTGATGGATATATGTACCCGGTCTAGCAAGACTCCGCATGGGTCGCGCTTGTCCTCGTCCGGTGGAAACCAGATCTGATGCTAGTGTGAACTGGCACAGTGTCACTCCAGTCTCGACTCCATCGTGATATGCAGATATCCTGCACACCCTGGTCTGTCATCCTGGACCGATGCAAGTCTGATCCCTTACCGACCACGGCCGTCAGCCCAGTCCGGCCCAGCCCACTGGCCACACTAGAAGAATGCAGATATGATCCTTAATCAAACCTGGGACCAAAAGGGGGCCCACCGCCTTGTGACAGATCTGGCCTGCCCACCGACAGGAGCGGAGTTTATTTCCTGCAGCAGTAGGGGGAGGATATCCTGACGCTCCGATGTAGTAACGATGGGGAACATTGAGACATGGAAAAACCGATGCGATGGGGGAGGGGGCGAGAGCATTTGCTAAATATCACCTAGTTTCTGTTGATAGGAGGAAATTGTGGTGCGGGTTTCAAGCGACAATGGGTGAATGGGAAATTGGAGAAAGAGAGAGGCGTCGGAGGAGAAACCAGAAACGAAAACGAGACTAAGGATGAATCTACCCATCTGCCCACCAGCTGCTCATCCTCATTAACGGGCAGCAGCGGAAAGCACCAGTGGGAGGGCCGGAAAGGTGGCAGCCAGGATGACGAAGAAAATGATGGGATGGGATGAAGAGGGTGGCTCACCAATCAACGGGGTAAGGACCCCAGTTGATGACGAGTCCCGACCTCCAGGACCTCCAGAAGGGCTTCGAGAAGCTCAGCAAACTTCGAGGCCTGTGTTTCATGTCTACGCTAAGCCCAGATGGGATAGGGTGGTCACCGCCAAGTCGTGCCTCAAAAGGGCAAGTCCCTGAGAGTACAATTCTGTGATTGGATTGTCAGAAAGAATTCCACCAGTTGCTGCTCCACCTTTAACCCACCCATTTGGCTATCCAATGGAACGCTGTATCCTCAACCCTGGGTTCCAACGAGGGAGTTAAATTTAAAACCACGCTCAATGGGCAAGACCCGGGATCCAGATTCCCCAGTTCTTCAAATCATGAATTCATTGACAGCTTGCGGATAACTCATGCTATGCACTGTATCAGGCTGAGTAACTTTTCCCCTTCTCCTCTGTTCTCTTTCTCTCTCTCTCTCTTTCTCCCCCTCTCTTTCAGAGCGATCTATCATCTCCTTTCTCTATTCCTCATCCGGTAGGTCAGCATGGCCAAGATCTCCGCTCACCTATGCTCGTCATGAGGTGGTGCTCCTGCCCACTTTCCCAAAGAGCCCCAGGGCTTATCCTTCCACCTTCTCCCCTCCCCACTTTCTGTCTCTCCTCTTTTTGACTCGTTTGCCCATCTCTTACTTCCACCCCCCACTTCTCACTAACCCTCTTCCGGCTGTCTGTCACAGCTTCCGTCTTCTTGGGACCACGGGTGCGTGTGGTTTGGGATGAACCAGCTGGAGAGTGGTAGAGGGTCAGGGGTAAAACGGTCTTCTGCCATCATCCGACTTCAATGGTATGATCAGTTGTGCCTGATCCTGCCACAGGGGAAGAGGAATCAGCTTCCCAGCATCACTATCCGGGACCTGCACACACCTGCAGTCATCATCGGATCTGTCCCTGGCTAATCTACACCTCCGACGCCAGGAACCAGATGTTGAACCCTGTCGCTCCCTATCATTCCTTTCCCTGACTCAATCTGGAAATCAGTTAGGTACGGGCAGTACAATCCACCGCCACATTCCGGGCCACTGTAATGATCCCTGTCGCCCGCTGAAGTAACTGTAGTCGGATGAACGCGTTCAATCGGGCAAGGCGTAGAGGCTGATTGATGATCGAGGTTGTTGGAGGAGCTGACTGCTCGCTGCCCCCAGTCGGAACCTCCGATAGGGAGGCGAAAAGTGTCAGCGAGGTAAGCATCATCACCATCATCATAATCATTAATCATCGTGGTCGTGGTGGTGGTTGTTGTTGTCGGAGTCTTCTTGGACCTAGACTAGTTTTGCAAGGAACACGATGCGAAAAGTAAAACACTCGAGGAAGGTGTTTCACCCTGAAGTTAGCATAGGATTGCCCACCTGAGGCCAGGTTCAGTCCTCTTGTTCCATGGCTTTGCTTCAGCACTGACAGTACCTTATTAGCGATCTCACACAAGATTGGGTAATGGATATTGTGCGCGAATAAACCACCCATTTTAGATTGCTTTGCTACTCAGTACTTCGTCATCTTCTGCCTTCCCCCCTCTCTCCTTAAGTGAGCACTGAGCAAGTAGATAGCTGCAACTACAGTGCGTATGTATCTGCCACTGAGTGATTATGTTGTTGATTTTCTCCTTACCCACCCTGATCTTTTCCCATTCTTCACATTAATTCAAGTTAGGACAAAATAAGAATAGCAGATATTTTTTTTTTCTTGGTTTACTGCATTTTTCTTTCTCCTAAGAATTGTTTTTCCCTTTTCTTTTCTTTTTCTTTTAATTTTCCCTTTCCCACTTACTGTCGGTTAGCCTCATAAAGTTTCGAGACTCTGATGCGATTGTCCAAATAGTGTTTCCTGTTATTCACATTTTATACTTTTACCTTGTGTTTTGGCTTTCAACACACCCCTTTTCCTTGGGTATCTGCCCTATCTTTTCAAGTTCACTCTGGCATCAATCGAGGATACCCTCTCTACTGAGACCAGCCAGATCCTTTGCATTGTCGGCACTTTAGTTGGCTAAACTTGAGGAGTTGGAAGACAAAGCGAAACGAGCTCTCGCCGACGTCCCAGAAGGGAAAGTGATCCTTAAGCAATCGCAGGAAATAAAACCAACCAGATAAATTAAAAGTCCCGAGATCCATCCTAGATCCCGAGCGAGACTACACTACTTACACTACTACGGAGGGAGTTCTCCGTATTTCCTCTGGACTGTTTTACTTGACTTCACTTTACTATTCACTCTACTCGCTACCATTGCTACTCCTACTACTACGAGTACTTACTCTACTACCACTTTGCGACTGGCCGACTCAATCAACTTCCACCACTCTCTTTCCTTTACTCCCTCTCTCTCTTCCTCTTCCTCTCTCTCTCTCTCTCTCTCTCTCTCTCTCTCCTTCTCCCTCTCTTCACCTCCTTCTCTTTCTGATCCCCTCGTCTTAATCCTTTCACCCCTCACTGTTTCTCATTTCCCCCTCTCTTCCTCCCCGCTCTGGGGTTAACCATCCCATCCTCATTATCACCACTAATCATCCCGCACCATCAACTATTTTCCATCGACTGACTGCTTTTCATCCTCCGTGTTTCCTGCCTCACTTCGTTCCTTACCCTTCTTTGATTACCTGCAGCTCCACTGTTCCATCCAGACTACATACTTTAATTATTTTAATATTTCAGGGCGAATCCCTGGTTCCCTCCGCCATTGCAATTTATCTGGGCTGGGCCGAAATTTATCCTTTGCGACACCCTCCTTCTCATCCCCGCTGACATTGCGACAAGCAAGCTTGGCCAAGACTAGGTGGACAATAATCTCAAAGACTACGAATCTTAATCCAGGTCTCACTCACTTGTGGTGCTTGCGCCCCGATCCGCTCAAGTCGCGTGAAACCGACCCTGCCTCTCTCCTGGACTGTGGTTGTGTGTGTGTGTGTGTGTGTGTGCGTGTGTGTGGCATTAGACGGTGCCTTTGCGGACTAAGTGTGGAGTCCCACTGCTGAAACGAGGCCATTCGCAATACGTACCACGATAACGACCGCGATCACCGTTAGACTCCCATCTCGCCTCCCCCACCCACTCCTGGCTTTTCTAGCGACAAACTCACTCCCAGTGTCTGTCGCATTGATTTGACGCCTGCTTATCGAGACTCCAACAATCTGTGACGACTTTGTATCCTCTTCGCGCGTCGGGGATCTACTTCCGCTTTCCCACTTGACTCCACCATCTCGACCTTCGGCTCCCTGCGATTAATGCAGCTACTGCCTCAGATCTTCATCGCACCGTCTCTCTACCTTTGCTGGGGCTATGCCCTCACTCGTTCAGAACATCGACCCCTCTCCGATACCACAAGGCGCAATCATGGAATCATCCGCTGCAGATAAGAAGCGCAACAAGCTTGGATATCATCGTACCTCTGTCGCATGCGGTAAGCTCAGCTCTCCTTCACCTTCCGTGTGTCAACCAAAGCCCTTGAACTTATCATCACCACCCCAGTGCACTGTCGACGACGAAAAATCCGATGCCTTCTTGCCGCGGATGATGCTCAAGGACGATGCGAGAACTGCATCCGACTGCGAAAAGAGTGCCAATTCTTCCCCGTTGACCAGCAGCCCCCAATCGAGAAGAAATCACGCCCGAGTTCCCGGTTGGAAACGGCATCGACAGATCCCTCGACAGCCTCGTCTTCGCCTCCAACCCTCACTGGCGATCAAACAGAGGCGTACTTCCCTTACCAGTCAATGGCATTGGGTACGAATACCGACGTAGCGGGGTTCAACGCTGCTGTCTTCCCCGGCAATCCGATGGCGACGTTTGTTCCTGGTTTGTGAATCTCTCATGAAGCGGAGGGTTGATGAACTAACGCACTCACAGAGCGCAGTGTTCCTTCTTCCGAATTTGCGCCGCATCCGTCCATCGATCCTTCTACTGTGGCCTGGGATGAGTTTACAACGATCCCCGATCAACAAATGCTAGCCTCCATGGCCGCGGGCAAGACCATGATGAACGTACCTGCCAATGTCTGGGCCCCTACGCCGGGCCAAATGGCCCCAATGCCGACCGCGTCCCCTCTACCAGCCACTCCGACAGTCCCGTCGCAAAATCCAGCACTCAATGTTGCACCCACGTACGCAATGCAACCCGATGGATCCGTGTGGCAGGTCGCCCCCACGCGATCAATGACGTTCCCTGCGCAACCCACCGATATGGCTGCACCTTATCCCAACCCTGCTCAGTTCGTGCAGCCGCTCCCCGCGGACCTCAAGCGCAGAATGACCAGCCCGGCGCAATCGTTCCCCGGCGTTCCGATGAACCCTCAGAGTCCTCCTTCCGTCGATCTTCAAGGGACACCGGTATCTGTGTCTTATCCTGGCCAGCCAGGGACGATGGGGTATCCTGGTTGGCAGGATGTCAACGCCATGTCTCCCATGAGCGTGGTGCAGTACCCGATGTACGCTGGCGATCCTGTGCAACAAGCCGGCTTTGGTAGTCCACCGCCGATGGGACATCCAGGTCCAGGACAATCTCCGCATTGACGAAGCAGCTGATGATAGGCAATTACGAAACATTCCCAACCAGGATTTTCCAAACTCTACAGTGGCATAATACCCCGGGCGACGCATTGCATACTTTCCGTTTCTTCTCCGTCTGATTCCAACCATGCATACAGCTTTACAATACCAGGCTGCTTGTTAGCGGGCGCAAAGGATCTTGGGCGGTACATTTATTTCAATTCTACCCACGAGACCCCATTTTCTTCCATTTCCGGTTATTTCACTCCTGTCCTCCTTGCTGCTGGACAGAAGCTTCATGTTTTTACCATTTTCTCACCTCGGCTTCTTCTTCGAGTGTTCATATTTAGCGTTGGATATCCATGGCGTGCGTCATGAGCTATGTGTTAAGTCACCAGCGGGACGGGTGTCTGATTATCTTTTGATATTTTGTTGTGTACTTGTTTTCGGCGTTTAGTGGGTCTTGGGCCAAGCCGTTTTGGACCCGGATCGGTGGGTTGGGATCTGTCAGGACGGGATGACCGATAGACTGTTGTTCGACATGAAGATCATGGAACATAGAGGCGTCCTACCATTCTGCACCGGCTCGACATACTACCTAGCCACTTCCTTTGCTTGTGATGTTGTTTTCTCTCGTTCTGGTTGCGATTCCCCGAATAGATGGATTGGGTGGGTGGCTGGCTGGTTGAGGACCGAGGGCTTTGCTGTATTTAACTTGCGAGCATTTAGACTAATGTTGATACGTTCTTCTTGTGCATGGGTAATTGTTGTAGACTGAATTGAGTAAGATTTGATAAGAGGATTGAATCTACTTCCCAGTGCTCGGTTACAACGCCCATTCTCTTCTTGGCCACTGCTTCAGACTCAGGCAACGACTAAACATAGATACTTCTACACACAGGCCTCGAAGATCTGACCGTCAAGGAGGCAGAGCGTGAGAAAGGAAGGACAAGAGAATTAGGTGTTTCCACACCGTGCACACACCCATTCCCATTTCTCATGATAGTCACCTGTATCGTACTGCATTCACCCCTGGGTAGTCCCATTCCTGTCAAACTCTCACCTCTAACGTGTCATGATAACAATGGCCAACAAAAGGGCTGCAAGCAATTTGGCCGCAAGAAGAACCCCAGAAATCTGCATTTCGAGTACTGTTGGAAAGTCATCTCCCCATTAGCTAGCACATTCCCCCCCCCCGGCACCACGAAGGAGGGAAACAACGTACATAACTTCGAGACAGTGGTGGTACTTCTGTTGCCCCGTTCTCAAGAGTCCAATGCCTGGATCCTAACCACGATAGGTGACGATATAAGCGCAAACCTCATACGGGGGCGAGTGACGAGGTAGAAGATAGGTAGGTACCGTATAGAATGTATAAAACAGAACAAACACAACACGTGCCAGGCGAGCCATCTGGCAAACACTCTCGCCTTCCATCACTTCAACACCTACACCAACCACCCCAGCCAGAATCACAACACCCCCATTCATCAAGCCAAGTACAAGCACAAGACACAAACTGTCAAATCTAGATTCATAATCATATTCATCAAACATCATCATCATCCACAATCAAGACCGAAACACCTACACATCCACCAACTCCCCAAGCGTCGCCTCCAAGAACGCCCGCTGCTCCCCCAACGCCCCGCGAATCGCATCGACATCGAAGCACCGCCGCGCGTGCTGCTCCCGTAGCTTCTTCAGCTGCGCACGCACCCGCTCCTCGAGGTTCTCCATCCGGTACAGCGCATACTGGCTGTACAGCTCGGGCAGCTCGCTGATGCCCCGCAGGCTGGTTAAGACGGTCTCGTCCTTGACGAGCGGGTTCTTGGGCCGGAACGCGGTCACCATGCTGATGCGCTCGCGGCCGCCGATCGCCTTTAGCGCTTGGTGCTCGATGTACCGGCCTTGCATGACGACGGCTGTGCCCTATCCCACGAGGTAGGTTAGCATGAGGGGAGGATGATGAGGTGGAGATAGATGCATTGGTTGGAATAAACAATAGTGAAGGGGACGAGAGCGTCGACGCACCATCAGCGGACCCCGGAATTTCAACACCTCCCCGTTGGCCGTCTTCACCGCGGTCTCGCCGCCGACCATCCCCTCGCAATCGGAGAGCATCGTCACGCATACGAAGGGGTAGCTGTCATGGTGCCAGGCGAAGGCGGGCGCGCTGTCGTCGTCTGTGTCGTCGGTTGACCTGGACTTGGTTGACTCGACGACGGGGTCGTTGACCGAGACATTGACGTGGCCTACGTCCACGTCCATCGCGGGCACGACCTCGATCCCTGCGACGCGGGAGATGGTGGCCAGCAGCTCGGGGCTGTGCCAGGCGTTGAAGATGAAGGGGGCGCGTCTTGGGGATTTGGGTTAGCCTGTTGTGTCCGGTTTGAAGTCGCGCTAGGGGATTCTTACTGTGGCCCATATCCTCGGATCATGTTCGTTGCAAAGCTGGAGGCATACTGGCAGTCGCGGAGCACAGGCTCGCTGAAGATTTCGGCTCGAATCTGCTGGACGGCTTCTGGTGTGAAAAGGGGGAAGGGCTCGGACAGAGCGGTGGGTGAGATTCCCGCGCCTTCGAAGCCGAGGTCCTTCATCATGAAGACCTTCCCGGGCGCGGCAGTTGCCAGATGCTTGGTGGCGTCGAAGTCCACTTTATCGACGGCGCGGGCTCGGTGGATAATGGACTCGGGGATCTGTTTGGTGGGTCGTGTGGCGCGCAATGTGGTTGAGGCGATCACGGTGGGTGGCGCGACGGGAGCCTGGATGGAAATGGGGGCTTGGAGAGCGGCGGCGGCCATGATGGATGCTGATGTTTGAAGCTTTTGGGGGTTGAGAGTGGAGATGGGTCTATGGTTGATGTTGTCGATGGTCCATGATCGAAGAGGCCTTTATACCAGCATCACCATCTTGTGTTCACCAGTCCATCCCACCACTACGTGGAAGATATCCCACAAATGTTCAACAATCCGCTGTGGTTCAAGTGGGAGGCATAATGTTCAACTACATACACACCCTGGACCAGAAGGCTCGTGGGAGTACCGAAAAAGGATAGGAATCCGGGGCTTCATGCCTTAGGAGGCAAACAATCCTCGCTCGAATCAGGGGAGAGCTCGCGACGCATGAGTAATCGATCATCCTACCTCCGTCCGACTGGCTAATGAGTATAAGATACATCCGCAGAGCTTGCCCCCAGCCCAAAATCGTGTTTTCACGACTGAAATCTCTGCAAGACCCTGACAACTGCGCCCCTGTCTCCTTTGCCAATCCTTCGCCAGTGACGACACGCTACATGAACAAGGACCAATACTGGGCTTAAGTGACGCACCCTTATCTCGCACTACGTGAGGAGCCAATGATGTCTGCTTACTCGGTATCTTAGTCTGCTCTCGGTCTGATAAGAGGCCTCGATAAGTCTCACGATCGATGCTGCGAGCGCACAGTGTGGCAAACACATTGGCAGAAGTCGATCGATGGCCAATGAACTCAGGCCCAAGCCCGATATGCTTATTCCATGCCGGGTACATGACAATGCACACCGGGATCAGCCTGGAAGAGATTGCTCGCTTTGGTGTTTCGTTGCGATTCATGACAGATTGAAATTAAATTCCCCGGCCGGGTAGAGATAAGCTAGCGCTATAAAGGGCTTTGTATACCCCATACAATACGTACCTGCACGGATCCCCCGACCTGTCATTTTCAACCCTCCCCGCCAGCCATGACACCCCCCACGCAGCATCGTCCTGTAGACGAAGAAAAAGGCAAATCGGCCGCCCAAAGCGACGTGTATGCTGCCGGTTCCGACATTGAACCCGGATCCATTATCCCGCCAGACGCCCATGGATTGCAGCGCCGCCTGGATAATCGACAGATCCAGCTGATTGCGATTGGAGGCTCGATTGGGACTGCGGTCTTCGTGAGCATCGGCACAGCCCTCACTAAATCCGGTCCCGCCAGTCTCCTGCTTGCGTACATTATCTACAGCTGCATGCTCTCGCTGGTGAACAACTGCATCGCCGAGATGTCCACCTACATGCCCGTCGGCGGGGGGTTTATCCGTCTGGCCGGCCGGTGGGTGGACGACGCCTTCGGGTTTATGGCCGGGTGGAATTTCTTCTTCTACGAAGCACTACTAATTCCCTTCGAGATCACGGCCTTGACCGAGGTGCTGGCCTTCTGGAGCGATCGCATCCCCACAGCGGCCATATGCGTGGCGTGCATTGTACTATATGCGTAAGCCACTTCCCACACGCGACATCGATTAGGAATTCGAAGCCCAACTACGATTTATCATGCTCACATCTCCTCAGATCCCTTAACGTCCTCGCAGTCCGCGCCTACGGAGAGGCCGAATTCTGGCTCTCCGGCGGCAAGGTGATCCTATTCTTTGTCTTGTTTCTGTTCACCTTCATCACAATGGTGGGCGGCAACCCGCAGGGCGATGCCTACGGGTTCCGGTACTGGAACACGCCCGGCGCGTTCGCGACGCATCTTGCCACGGGGGCGCTGGGCCGGTTCGAAGGGTTCCTGGCGGCGCTGTGGGCGGCGTCGTTCGCGTGCGTGGGGCCGGAGTACATCTCGATGGTGGCAGCGGAGAGCAAGCACCCGCGGCGGTACATCAAGAACGCGTTCCAGACGGTGTACTGGCGTTTCGGGGTGTTCTTCATCGGGAGCGCGCTCTGCGTCGGGGTGGTGGTGGCGTACAACGACGCCAGCCTGGTGGCGATCACGACGGGGGCGTCGGCGGGGGCGGGGTCGGCGTCGGCGTCCCCCTACGTGATCGCGATGAGCAACCTGGGGGTCAGCGTGCTGCCGCACATCGTCAACGCGCTGCTAGTGACCAGCATCTTCTCGGCGGGCAACACGTACACCTACACGGCGACGCGGGTGCTGCACGGGCTGGCCGTCGAGGGCCGCGCCCCGCGCATCTTCCGGCGCTGCACGCGCCACGGCGTCCCCATCTACTGCTTCGGTCTCGTCATGCTGTTCCCCTTCCTGTCCTTCCTGCAGCTCTCCAACAACACCGCCACCGTCCTCAGCTGGATCATCAACCTGACCACCTCCGCCGGCGTGATCAACTACATCGTCATGACCACCACGTACATCTGCTTCTACCGCGCGTGTCAGGCCCAGGGATTCGACCGCGCCCAGCTGCCGTATCGGGGGTGGTTCCAGCCCTGGAGCGCCTACATCGGCCTGGTCTGGATGGTGTGCGTGGTGACGTGCTACGGGTACAGCAGCTTCATGCCCTGGAGCGCGGCGGACTTTGTCACGTACTACACGATGGTGATCGTGGCGCCCGCGCTGTTCCTGGGGTGGAAGCTATTGAAGCGGACGAAATTTGTGCGGCCGCAGGAAGTGGATCTGGTCTGGGAGGCGCCGGCCATTACGGCGTACGAGGCGGAGTTGGAGCTCACGCAGCCGGCGGTGGGATTCTGGGAGGAGCTGTTGCAGCCTTTGCGGGGGCTTTGGTCTGCAAGACAAAATAAGTGAGTGTGATACGAATCAGGAATGAAAATCCAGCCGAAGGCTTTGGAAATGTGCAGTGCAGTGCAGTGCAGCTGGCAATGCGGGGTAAATCGCCCACTTATTTTTTTAGTTTCCTTTTTGTAGATAGTGATAGCAAATCCACCAAAAAGCAAGAAATGTATGATAATACTTCCCCCTCACGCCTTATCTAGGCTAACAGACTAGTGACTAGTAACTCGTGATATCACACATAACTCCACCCTCCACATCCGAAGCACAATGAAGGCAAGAGCGGGGAGGGGGATTCCTTTCCCCATATGTCTTAAACATGAAAACATGAAAAAACACCCCTTCCTTCCCTTCCCCAAACTTCCCTAACCCACCAACCCTAACTAAATATACGCAAATGGAAGACCCAAACCCAGCCTTGTCACCCACCCCAAAAGGGAAGAATAAACGCCAAGCTCCGAAATCCCGCACGGGATGTGAAAACTGTAAGAGGCGACGGGTGCGTTCTCGCTTTCCTTGCCCCACAGGGTGCACGAGGAACGGAAACTGATGCTGAGGGGGAAATACAGCGACGATGCGATGAGCGCAAGCCTGGGTGTTATGAGTGTCAGCGGCGGGGTCAGACGTGTCCGGGGTATACTCGGCCATTTATTCGGTGGGGTGTGGAAGGGAGAAAGAGGAGGAAGGGGGTTGCTGGGGAGGTTGAGAGGGGCGATGGGGCTGTGACTTTGTCTGTGGCTATGGCTTCGCCTGTGGCTGGGGGTGTGTTTGGGGTCTCTGGGGAGGGAGAGGAGAATGTGCCTGTCTCTGGGGTGCAGGGCGAGAGACTTTCGTTGACTGGAGAGTTGGAGGGAGGTGGAAGAGGTGATGCTCAGGAGGATCCCGTTGATTTGGATATTGGGCTTCTCACGGGGATGGAAGATGTTGATGGTGGCAGTATGGCTGACCCCCTCCCAGCACCAACTCCTCTGGCGCTGCACGAGGTACTCGCTATACCAGGGCTGCCGTCTGCCCGCATTCAAACCCAGATCGACAACCTGGAGAGTCTCCGGCGACGACTCACGGACACTTCAGTACCCTCATTCCTGGTGCACCTTCCCGCCCTGCTGGTGGAATACTACTTCGACTACGTCTGCGCCATGTGGTCGTCGTTCGACTCGGACCTCAACCCCTTCCGCACCAACATCGCGCGCCTCTGGAGCCAGAACGCCCCCATCTACTACGCCATCCAGAGCATGGCCGCCGCCTCGCTGGCCGGCGACTTCCCCGGGATGCGCGCCGTGGGCGCCCAGATGCAGCGACGGGCCATCCACGCCCTGCAGGAGGCGATGGCGCTGTCACCGACGCTGAACGACGAGAATTTGTTCTACGGGTTGCTGATGGTCGGGTCGACCACCGCGTGGCACAACGGGGGCGACCTGGGGTTGCCCTATCTTCAGGCCGCACGGCGGTTCCTCGTGCGGCAGAGTCGCCGCGAGAGAAACGCATCTCCAGCCCCGAGCTGGGATTCGGAGGCCCTCACCCAGCAGTACCCATTCTTCAAGCAGTGTCTCCTGTACTGGAACATGCTAGCCGCGTTTGTCGCGCAGGATATCTCGGATGTCGGGGTTACCGACAGCGACAGCGACAGCGACAGCGACCACCACCTCCCAATCTACGTGGTCAACGGCCAAACCCTCCTGCACCCATGGACAGGGCCACTGCCCACTGCCCTGCAGTATTTCTATCACATCGCGCGCCTCATCCGCTCTGCGCGCCACGCGCCACTCCTCAACCTGACCACATCCCCGATAACCCAGCAACCAAGCCCCCATCTCCCCGACGCCACCACAATCCACCCAACCCATTTAGAGAAAGCCCAAACCCTCGAAACCGAACTCCTCACCTTCGACGTCGACGGCATAGGCCACCACCTCCCGACAGGCGACACCAACACTCCAGCAAACCACTTCACCATCCTCGCCGACGCCTACCGCTGCGTCGCCCTGCTGCAGATCTACCACGCCTTCCCAGACATCCTAGTCTCCCGTCTTTCCAGCCAGCGGCATCACGACCACCCAGAACCAAACACACATGCACCCCCCTTCCCCTTCCCAACATCCCCCACCCGAACCCCCCGACAATTCCGACGCCACCTCGCCCTCCACATCATCGCCCTACTAGAAACCCTCCCCGTCACCTCCGGGACGAGGGTCATGCAACCCGTCCTCCTAGCCGCGACGGCGGGCAGTCTGGTCTTTTCGAGAGGAACGCCGCTGGGGGTGGCGGCGGACGCGTGGGCGCCGTTCGACGCCGTGGATGTGGAGATCGCGCAGGCGCGGCGGCGCGTGAGCGCGCGGCTGGCGGATCTGACCAGGATTCTGCCGCGGCCGCCGCTGGAGCGGGTGGGGGATTTGGTGCGGGAGGTGTGGAGGCGGGCGGATGATGCGGGTGCGGGTGCGGGTGCGGGTGCTTATGGGGAGGGGGCGGAGGACGGGGAGGAGGCGTTCTGGTTGGATGTTATGATGGAGAGGCGGTTGGAGACTATTATGGGGTAGGATGTAGTTTGCTTGGGGGTATCGTGGGGATGATCAGGTGAGCCTGGTTTGTTTGTGATGTGCAGGATGGTACTGGTGAGTGCTATGGGCTAGTGGGCATGGATTGGGAGATAGGAGGTGGTGCTGATATACAATGAATAATTCCTTAGAGTAGAGTCATCGTCATGTGCTGTACCGTAATTTACTGACCGCTTGTGGAGATCCTGTGTCTATAAGCTCCCCATCGGACCCCCCTCAATCCCACTACAAAATCTCCAAAGTACATACCGTACTCGAGTCAGACCTTTTGACATTAAATCAAGCCCCCTTGGAAGCACTTACTTCCCCGCTATCCTGTAACCTACCTGGTACAGTACACCGCACCTCAAACCTAGATCGTAACCCACCTAATCAACATCAATACCCACGCCAGCGAGGCAGCGCATTTCTTACCCAATCAGGCAATCCAACCCGCCCCGCCCTAGTCTGGTCCCGAGAATCAGCAGACTTTTGACCGTACATCCCTCTGCAAGAGAAGCACAAAGCCGAACGAAAGCTGCAGCTTATCAATACGAACCAGAGGAAACGCTGCGCTACCTACCCATCACGCCCACTAACGCTTCTACTGAGAGTTTAGTTTCCCATGTCTCCGGGATGGGAGCAGAGAAATACTGTGGGATTGGTTGATCGAAACGGCACCCGGGTGCAGTCCGAGGCTCGGGGGTTTGAGGGCCTGAATGGGGAAAGAGTTCCCTTTTCCGGGGGCCGGATGTGGGATTGCCTCCCATGGAAGGTAGAAGGGGGAGGGGGAGGGGTTGTTTAGCGATGAATCAATACATTGGAGTGAACTACTTCTGAGTATGGCAGTTCGACCGTGTCAGATGTATTGAGTATGAGGGTTGATTCGTGTTGAGTACTGTAAGTTCTAGTATGGTGGAGAAATGAGGACGTTGAAGAAAAGCAAGCAGGTTCAAATAAGGGACGGCCTAAAGCAAAAATCAAATCAACAAACCACCCAAACACCAAAGAGACGAAAAGATACTACAACACCGCCCACCCCCTCCCCTTCCCCCCCAGCGCCCGAACCACCTCCTCCGCCCCCTTCTCCCCAGACCACAGCGCCCCCTCCATATACCCCTTCCACACTTGGCTATACTCCGTCCCCACGAAATGCACATTACCCACCGCCCTCCCATACACCTCTTCGTACTGCGTCAAATGCCCCGGCGCCGTGATCGGCGCCAACGCGCCCCGACTATACCGCTCATGCTGCCAGATCTGATCGAACATCTCGATCGGCCGCCACACGTCTGAGTTTGCGTCTTGCCCAAAGACCCGGGCCAGCTGCTTCAGCACCGCCGCCCGCCGCTCGTGCGGCAGCAGCCGGCTCCACGCCCTCCCCGGGGCCCCGTTCACGAAGCACGTCAGCGAGAAGTGCCGCTTCTCGTCGACGGAGGTGTCCCGCGCCAAGATGACGGGCCCCGCGTAGCTGGCAAAATACCCGTTGAAGTTCTGGGCCCGCCACCAGGGGGTGTTGTAGCAGATGATGGCCTTGTTGTAGTCGCCGAGCACCGTGGCGTCCGTGACGGTGCGGACGGCCGGGGGTAAGGGGGGTGTGATGGTGAGTTCCTTGTACATGGTGCTGGGGAGGGAGAGGATGAGCTTGCGGGTTGTGTAGGACTTGGTGGTGGAGGTAGTGACGGTGACGTGGGAGGAGTGGTCGTGGATGGCGTGGACGGGGGTCGACAGGTGGATGTTTTGGTGGCCGATTAGGGCTGCGAGGCGGGTGGCGATGGTTTGGGCGCCTTTGCGGGTTGCTGAGGTTAGTGGGGGACCTCCCATCGGAAAATGTAGAATAGGGTAAAGGATCTGAGAAAGGGCTTTGCAGGACAGGCTCACCATCCTGAAAGCGCAAATACTGTCCCCCCGACGCATCGTCCGCCCGGACAGCCAACAACCCCCGGTTCCGACGACAGTAGTCGATGAACCACCCCGCCGACTCCTCGCTGGCCTCGACCCCGTGCATCACCTGCGCCCACAGGTTCACCATCTGGATGACTTTGGGCAGAGCCCCGAGGTTGCGCACGTACTCCTCCAGCGTGGTGCTATCATCCTCGGCGGAGACGGGCCCCGATTTGAGCGATTCGGCCTGGATGTGGTCGCGGACATACTCCAGGCTCTTCTTCTCTGCTTCGCTGAACTGTTTGGCCAGCTTGTCAGCATTCCATTCAGCTCCGATGCTAGGCAACTCACCTCCGGCGTCACGCCGAACGGAAAGAGAAACCGCTCCTCTTCGCTCGGCTCCATCACCGCCTGGCCCGCCAGCCGCTGCTGGACGACCTTCATCCCAAACCGCTGCGCATACGCCCACACCCGGGGCTGCAGGGTGTCGTTGATCCAGGCGGCGCCGAGCTCGACGCAGCCCCGCCCGGAGGCCAGCGGCACGCTCCAGACCTTGCCGCCGACGCGGTCGCGGGCTTCGAGAACGAGCGTTGAGAGACCGGCTTGCTGGGCGGAGTAGGCGGCTTGGAGGCCGCTGAAGCCGGCACCGACGACAATCACGTCGTACATGATGGGGGTGGCTGGCTGGAAGAAGATTCAGTGAGATTGGGGCGGTTGAAATATAGTGGGGATGAGTGAGAGACAGGGTGGGGAACTGCATATATATATGGGACAGGGTTGCATGGTAGGACTCTGGCATTACTCGCAGCGGAAAGTTGGCCAAGAGAGAAAGGTACAGCATTGCACACTAATACGACCTGGAGCTCTGCAGCTCAGCTCTCACTGTCATTACCCCATCTGGCTTAGGGCTGGTTCTCATAGTTTTTACCGGATTGGGAGGTACTCACATGACTGCAGCGTGCACAGCATGCATTTGGGATTCTCTTGCTGCAGTATGTCTGGAAAACATACCAGCGAGTTCAAGTCCATGAACGAAGACCCTTTTGTATGACATTATGCTGTTACCTCCCATCTCATTCCATTGACAGTAACTATCGATCTCGTTAGTATCTTTACGCCGCCGCTCGGCCCGCTTCCGTGCCAAGACCTGTTATACTATGTTATACTACGGGGGTGCATGAATCGTCGCCAAACATAGTCTCATATCTCGCATTGTATTTCCAAATGGTTGGTGACCATCTCAATGCGAGAATAGAAGATAGTCGATGCAAGAGGTATTGAGGTTTCCACTCCAAAAGTCTCCCCGAATACCAGGGTGGAGCAGAGGGCAGATGACGCCGCGGCGACCTCGGCAAACAATGCAAACATGATGGTTCCAGCTTATGCACGCATCGTTTCATCGACTGACTTTCATGGAAGGCACAAAGCTTTCCATTCATATTGACCACCCCGTGCAACAGAAATGGACTCGCCAAATAGGAGATGTTCCAGGAAACATAACGACATAACGACAGGTGTCGATCGCAAGAAGAGCTCGAACAGCGTGATCGAACGCCGTCCTCACAGCGGGAACATGCAACAAATCCATTAGGAACTATATCTCCCCTTCACCTCACGCATCCATCGCCAAAGCCATTCCAACCACCCCTCACCTCAAACCTTCTTGCTAATCATAACAGCATCCTAAAAAAAGTCAAGTCAGCAACACCACAGCCCCACTCCAGAATCCAAGAAAACCAACCTCCTGCCCATCAACCAAAACATAAGGCAACGTGCGACTCTCATACCGCAGCACCCTTCCCTCCACCTCATGCACCCCCTCCTCCATCCACCGCGCATACGCCTTTGCCCCCTCCATCCCCACGTTGTCCGCCACCACCAGCGCGCCCGCCCGCAGCAGACCCAGTCTCTCCGCGACCAGCAAATCCGGCAGATACCGATCGCCCCAATGGTCCACAAAAAGCAGATCCACCGCCGCGTTTTCTGCCTCGAGTGCCCGCGCCACGTGGGCCAACGACGCCGCCGCCTCGCCCACAAGCACCCGCACCACATCCCCCAGCCCCGCGAACTCGAGGAGCGATTGCGCCACCGCCGCGTACGCGGCGTTGCACTCGAGGCTGTAGTACCGCGGCGCATGGGTGCCGGCGGGGGTGGCGCGGCGCAGCTCGTCGGCGAACTGGATGGCCGAGTAGCCGATGTAACCGCCTAGCTCGACCATGACGCTCGGGGAGGAGGAGCGGATGAGCTCGACGATGGGCTGGCTGCGCTCGGGGCCGATGGTCATCATGCAGTGGTTGTGGGCGGTGGCCCAGTGGTCGATCTCGGTCAGGATGGCGGCCGGGTGGTTGCGGAGCTGGGCGGCGTTCGGGTGGTGGAGGATGTGGGCTTGGAGGGCTTGTTCGCGGCCGTCCTTTGGGAGTTAGCTTTTGGTAATGGGGGTTGGAGGGCGGGGGGCGTACGCCGTGCCAGATGGTTGGGGATTGGGTGGTCATTATTGGGATGGATGGGGATTCTGACGAATGGTTGGATGGTAAGGATGGGTATCTGATGGGTTCGAGAACGTGGAAAACCGGTCTTATATACTTGCGATGTTTGATCTCTTCTCTCGTGAAAGGGATCTTATCAGATCAAAAGCGCTGTCCCCGAGGTATAGACCGAGATGCGGGGATAGAGTCGGCCTCGGGTTCCACGAGGGCCGAGCTTGCTGATAAAGCCGAGACAAGTCCGAGTGGGTCCGGCAGCAGAGAAAGGATCATGTTAGATAGCTGGTTGGAGCTATTTCCATAGCTGTAACCCACGCTATGTAAGACTAGATTAGAAAGGGTACCTAAAGATACTGTCTTGTGCTGCACTACTGCCAGCGGAACTGTAGCTAAAGTCTTATGAGTTCGAGTGGGGGATGTGAATTTCCTACATAGCTCAATCCTAGGAATGAAGTCCCTCCACAGACTATGACTTTTCTGCATTTTATAAACAGACAGAACCGATACTAAGTGCTTTAAGAACATCGCATGACTGTAGCAGGCGGTCAAGAGTAATACATAACTAGAATGCCTGATCAACCTGCTTCATCAGTTACACCTTCTCCCACCTCCACAGTCCCTGGGCTGCAACATCTCATAGATACCGTGGAATATTAACCCCCAAGCCCCGTCCCACTAATACTGGCAGTGGTACCCGAAAAGACAGATCCACCATATAGCTATCCGCGTGCCCGCCCTTTGATATCCTCAGCCCCCAGCGTCAATGACGCCCTACCGCACCCACCCCTTCATCAACACCACGCCAAAACAATTGATGACATCCCAATGACACAACTCACCCCCCCTCAGCAGGAACAAAAAAAGAAATTCCCCCGTACTGGGGTTCGAACCCAGGTCTGAAGCAGGAAACCGTGAGGTGACCCACAACCGTCGTCTCCATCTAGACCATACGGGGGTGTTTGGTGAGAGAGACAGCACTTGCCGGGCCTATATGTTTGGTTTCGTTACGCTTTTTGCCATGACCCTGCTGCATCACGCGGTATTTTAGGGATCTCTGGTATCTAGGGGTAGTGGTAACGAGGTTTAGATGAGTCTATTTTGGATTTTCTGGGCTGCTGGGCTGCTGTTTGGTGGAGGTGCCTTGCTCGGTCTAGAGTTTCGTGGACAGGGAGCTGGGATTTGATGGCCTCCGGATTGTTTCTTTGAGTTGTGTTCTCAGAATGAGGACTATGTCAGAGTGAGCACAGTGGCTTGGTCGTGTAGCTGTTGCACCTTCAATTCCTGTGAAGCTTCGCACGGTTGGCAGGCTCGTCAGCTGACCGGGGGTTTGGAGAAGGCAGGTGCGGTATTGACCGTGGACAATCAAGTGGGCGGAGATCTGCATCCCTGCATCTTCGATACCATGCACTTGTGGTACATATAGTAAGGATATGTTTGATTCTAGTAGGATAAGCTTAGTTTATTTAATAAAGAGATTACATAGAGAGAAAAACATCGGGTCAACTCCCCAAGTTGCGACCAGCGAGTCTCCGACTTCTGAACTCCACATTAATGAGCGATGAACAAGAAGCACACCGCTTCAACCCATCCCATCGCTGCAAGGTTCATTCCCATCATAGTTCCACGACTCTAATAGTAGCTCGGCTAAGATGATTCTACACTCCCACAAGTAACCGAAAGACATTTAGGCGCGTCTCGGAGAGGACAGTCACGCACAGGCCGGCCTACTGAGGCCACAGGACGGTCAACACTGTCCTCCCTGTCGTTTCCTGTGGGAGGCGTGTCGGCTCAAACAGGTCAAGGGGAGCGAGCAGAGGCTTCTGAGCTCGATGCGAAGCCCGGCCAGAGTCAATCTCGTCATCCTTGCCTCAGCTAGCCAATGCAGCTTCAAGGAAAGCGTACAGTGTCCTGGTGAAGTGTAGTCACCAGAGCCATCCGTGTTGCCTGGTTCGGCCACCGCTGCTCAGTTCCCTAGCATACTCTCTGCCGCGAGCCCACAGCCCATACTCGACCTCGATGTGAAGTGTAAGGATGAAAAGGACAAAGGTCAATCCAGTCAAGAACTCCGTTCACGGGGTAAAACTGCAAGAGGCAGGCGCGAAGGGCCTTCTCTGTGGCATATGTACCGTACATACATAGTGCCATGGATGATCAATTGATGGGACGCAGCGAACTAGCTAAGCTAGCTAAGTCTATCTGAGGGCGATAAGAGCCGACTGACTGCAAGGAGACGACAGAAGCCCTTGCTTGGAGGACGCAATCGAAGCTCGCCCCACGTTTCCATGATCCTCGCTGCAGTGAAATCATCGAGAGCGCGATCGTGATGACATTCGAGTCGCTGAATGACCGATATGACGGCCACGAGATTCAATTGATTAATTTGGGAACGGCGAGCCTCAGGTGAAAGAATAGTATTATTATCGGATCAGGAGCTCAACACCGGCGGCCCATGGCCTCGCCTCCCGGAACAGACGTACCGTCGATCGGGACCACGCAATGCTCCCGTGCAGCGTTCTTGGGGCACCATGCTCCAGGAGGGCTTCGACTGCCTCATCTCCATGGACCATCACGGCATACAAGAGCGCCGTGCAGGTAGACCTCCCTGCTGGTAGCGAGAAAGGCGAGCGCCGTGTATGTCTTGTCCGACCCATCCCATCCGCCAGGAACCCGCCGGTCTGGGCGCCATATCTCCCTTCTGAGGCCAGCATGTACCAGACGTTGAACGCCTGAAACGTTCCAGCCGGCACCTTCATACCCGGTATGGGGATCTCGTCCCGGGACACGGGTGGTGGCTCCTGGCATCCCTCTTCATTCAGCCCGTGTCCACGATAGGGGCTTCAGAGGTTCCGTAAGTGCTGGGCCAATCTCGTCCCATCACTGCTGTGCCGCGTTGTACAAAATCCAGCCTGCGAGTAAGGCAGGGAGACCAGCGGCTACAGAACATGTCCGTGGCGGCTTATCAGACGCTTCACTCATGGCCACGACCATCCATCCGCCAGCACCTCTCCCTGCTGTCCTGCGCTGTCCAGGTGGCATATTGCGCGTATAGCGGGGAAAGCATTAACCCAGATAGTGCCGTCTTTGTAGAAGAGAGTCTTGTAGAGGAAGAAGGTGTCGGGCCCCGTGGTATCCAGGAAGTTTCGGAGCTCAGGCCATGCATTTCCGCGCTCTGATCCCCTTGCCGGTTACATCTCCAGGAACATCAGCGATCAGGAGATAAGGAGACCTGATTCCTGAGGGATGAGAGCGCGGTCTTCACGTACCACCCCACCTGCATCGCTCAGTAAATCCATGAGATGGTATTAAGGGGTCGGAAGGTTGCTGCCCCGCTCCTTGCACTGTACAGGAGTCATCGGGCATTGGCATCGTGAATGACCAGGACGATTGCCAGGCTCGGTTCCTCCTCGGGGTCCCGGTCGTCTCAGCATAGCACCATGTCTCGAGCCTCGGCCGACGAGACCCCTGATGCGAAAGGTTAGTGGTCTCTGTACGCACTGGGCACGGCCCTTGCTTCACCATTCCCCCCGCTGTGTGAAAATACTCCCATGAATGTGATGAATGTGACACACTTTCTCAACGACGATCGAGGGAGTGGCACAGCACAGTGACTTGCTCAAGGCGATGCTGCACCCGAGCGTCTCGGTACAGTACACGACCATGAAAAACGCATCCAGCAAGCCCAGGGTCTGAATGCACCACCCAATCTGCTAAGTCCATCATGAGTCGCGTGAAGGGTAGAGACTGCCTTCTTCCTCGAGAATCAACTTCATGCGATACAGCAATTGGCGTGCCCGGTGCGCCGATATCCGAGATTCTGCGTTTCGTACAGCCAAATCTGGTCGGAAGGACATCAGCGTCGGACTCTGGCGGGGAGATTACGCATTCATCGTGATGCATCCCGCCATACTTTGAGCAGCGCCGGGACAGGCGGTCCTGCACTGGGTGCTGGGGACCTTGACCGCCGCTCTGAGACTGAGTGCTTCCCTTGAAAGCCCCACAGGAATGAGAACGCAAATGAGAACGCAGGCCTAGTAGTCCAGCATTTGTTGTATGAAAGGCGATGTATGGGCCCTTCAAGTCGAATGCCATTGAGGCCGATGGCTTGGCCTCGAGGGCGTGTCGGAATATCCTGAAGTATGAAAGCAAAGCCTTCATAGTTGGTCGGGCAGACTGTTCGCGGACAAGATGTGCGATCGAAACAAATGAGTGAGGAGCGGATAAGAGGACGTCGGCCACCTCATCAAGGTAGATGCTTATGCGCTGATGCCTCACAACTCACTGGAGAAAGGGTTCCCCCAGACACGCACCGATGCGGTCCAGCCCCGGTGTGTCGCTTGCCACGATCGCAGTCCGAGACGTTGCAGCGCCAGACCATGCGGAAATGCTGCTGTGCCATGCAGTAATTTGCCCTGCTCCTTGAAACCACTCATTATGGTTTCGGCGCGCAACCAGCACAGCTGGATGGAACCAGCGCTGGAAGTCAAGCGCCTGGAGCCAAGGGCCGGGTGCAGAGAAAGAAGACTCGTAAGGAACGCTGCACCATTGGGACTTGAATACTATGTCAAAGTTCACAGACGGAGTGACCTGGACCTTTCCCGCTTTGATTTGTCGCGATAGCATGATTGTCCCGTTGGTCGCCAAGTATGCCTTTCTGGCATGTCCTCAGATCTTCAGACGTGCAACCGTGCATACTAACTGTAGACGATAATGTCAGCCTGTGAACTGGGTGTATCAGCGGAGATGCAGCGGCACGCGGTTTGGCGGGCTGCGAACTAGTGTACTCCAGTAGCGAAGCATTTATAAAGCCAAGCCTGCATGACCATGTGAATCTGAGGTATGCCAAATGTGCACGCACTCCAATCGCAAGGTCCATCCGAAGAAGGGATAGACTGTGAGGACCTCAGATGCCGTTCATTCCGTGGTGTTGACGAGCGCAGCAGGCCCAGGAAGGGGTAATGATAAAGGGTACCGTGACAGGGCGCTTAGGGTATACCCGGATGTGGCCACTGGCGGTAGTTATCTGCCGTCACCAGAGGCTTTCACCAGACAGACCCGAAAGGCCAGTTGCTTATCTGAGAGACGAGCACGGTCATTGGAATGGGTCAGTCACACTGCTGACTCTGAGCCGTCATGGTCGTGATGTTTCCCGTAACTGCTCCAGGGCATGTTGGACCGCAAGCACGAAAGAGAATGATATCAGAGATCAGAGAGCACAAACCAGTGACCCATTAAAGCCCCAGTTTTCTTCGACTCCCGAATTCTTCGAGAGACCAAAACTGATTGATCCAACCATCAGAATAAAGAAGTCCAGTCTTCGGAGTGAAGTACAGAACCATCCCTCCTAATCGCGGCGGCTGCTGACCGGCCGACGAGGTGCCCTTCAAGTTCATCAATGCCCGCGGATTTGATCATCCCGAGTAATTCTTCGGCCAGGCTCCGAACCAGACCCGGTCTTGGTCATCTAAGGCCGTGGGAACTTTGCTTCAGCGCTTGGTGCCTCGAACCGATTCTCCTTTGGTCGCATTCTTGGAACTGTCTCGGCAAGATGGGCATGAGCATTTTCTCCACATGCTTCAGCACGCCGATAAAGTGTGTATGGCTGGCGTTAGAGTCGGCTTCGCCGCCGCCATGTTCATAGTACTGCTGCTGGTACCGGCGACGCACGATTGAACGCCGCAGTTTGATGGCCACCAGCCGCGGCACTTCCTTGACATGTCGGGTGGCGACGATCTTTGTCGCCCGCTCCACAAACTCGCTGTGAGTCAGAGTGTATTCTTTTGACTCTGGAGGGGTGCCGCGCTACCTGCTGCCCGCCGCTCGGAAACAGAATCGGAGGCCGGACGTTGGTCATCAGAATGGGAATCCGAATCAGGCTTATGTTTTGGGAAGGTCGTTCACGCTATCCCATGGTTTTGATGCACTGGAAACTCCCGGCTATTCCTTGGAGAGCATTTTCGGGCCTCTGACGAAGACGGCCACAGTTGGTGGTACACCTGGCGGGCTGGAAAGTCATCATTCTTCTTCCCCAGCGCAAATATTCTCCACCTCGAATGTAGATAGAAGCATTGCACGTCACGAGGCTGATTGTTCGATGGCCATTTTGATCAGGATACACTGTCCCGCTCCTGACCAGGTCTTCATACCCCATGAGCTGCGAAAGTCCTCCGGAGATGGCTGCAAATGCCTGTTTGGCTCTGCACGTGCCCAGGAACACCATGTTGACGGACCTCATCTCCAAGGGTCAGGCCCAGCAGATTGGGAGCAAAGTACTAGTTCAAAGCTCGGCAATGCTGATCCTACCACTTGCAACGCGGTGGTCGGGTGGAGGCCAGGAAGGGCTTCTCTGTTGGCAGCCGAGTGCCCCCACACTGTTGGTGCAGAAGTAACTTGTGCCGAGGGTAGTCCGAGGGATTAAACACCGGATTGATCCCATATCGGACGACGTTGTTGGGTAGCAAACGCCCCTGCCTGTCCATAGAGAGCTGCTGGTGGGAGTACAGGAAGGCAAAGAATCGTCTCGCTGCTTCGAGCGGTGCTTTCTGGTGCAGACAGGACAGCTGATCTCAACAACAGCATGTCTGATAGGTTCAAGCGCGACAGGTTGGGTGAGATCGGGGGCATCAGCCGACAAAAATCAAGTCAGATTCGAGGTCACCTCACCCGCAAGACCCTCGATGACGAAGCGGAATAATTCTCTGACGGAGCCTGAAGCTTAGCATGTAAGCAACTAGCCGAGGGCCAAGGCGAAGGACACAGAGTAGACATGGTATAGAATCATCGCAAACATCAAGCAGGCGGTGATAATAAGCCGTGACAGCCTCGCCCTACTTCTGCACAACCGAGACGAGTCCCCGGTTGTCAGCCTGGACCACAAAGTGAACACCGGGGTAGTGTTCAACCTCTTCAAGCCAGCCAGCCAAAGTGATGGTTGTCTGCGGGCCCCAACCCTCTACATTACAGAGAAGATAGGCTCCTCCCTCTGCCCCATCAGTGTACCGTACGCGGCTGGGCTCAGTCGGAAACATCGGTATAGTATTCCAGTCATCTTTCTGTTCACCCGAGCCCAGGAATCCCATCCCCATCGCCTTGGAACAAATGCCTTTGACCAGCATCAAAGAAGCAAGGGCTGGCAAAATGACAACAGTATTTCCGGCAAGGTCCAATGCCGGTACTGCTTCATTGCCTGAATGGGATTCCCACTGGAACTGCCACGACTCTACAATCGCGTCTGCACACCCTCCCTGGTCGCTGAAGATTCTGGGTGATAATCAAAAGTGTAAGATGAACGGCTACTGCGTCGCTCAACCGGCACGCGATCGCTTTCGGGTCATCGGGTGCCTGATGCTGCTGCATTGCTGGAATGTGTCTGGACCATCAGCTGACTCCACACGAACCCCTCCTTCAGTTCGGAGGATGTCTCTCAACGGTAAGAGCGGCGCCCACTATTTCTGGATGTTCGCAGGGATGGATGGCTTGTGCTGTGAGACGACGGAAAGAGATGATCTGGCCAGACAAAAATCCCGCTGATGGGGAAAAAAGGGAGGAAGGCCCGCACGCACCCATGGCCGGGGATATGACGGGCCGCGAAGGAGCCCATCAGTTGCCACCACAGGTCATGAATAGGCCTAAGACGCAGCGGCGTGAGGCCCATGAGGAGCATTCCTTTAGCAGGTGTCAGTTAGAGATGCATTTGGAGCGTCCATGGTAGTACGGAAGGAGGGTGAAGAGGGAGGAGCATAGGGAGGTGCTATCGAGCAGCCAGAACAGAAATTGGCTGTTGGGCTGAAGGTCGAGAAGAGGAAAATCCTGAAAGAGGATCTTGAAGAGGAAGGTTAGAGCTTTGCCACAGTGCTTCACTATATTGGGGCACAAGTGAGTCAGCGGTAGTTTCCACTACCTTTGGCAATAGTCACTCAAAAAGCAATGCACCAGGTGTATATGGAATCTCATTCAAGGTTGTCAGGGGTCAGGTGGTCCAGGACGCGGACAACCCATGAACCATCGATGGCTGACCTTGAACCTCGGACACCAGCCTTGCGCCCATTGGAACAGGTGCAGCGTATTCTGCCATCTCGAAGACAGAAGAATAGTCCAGCCAGGGTGGCCTGCGAACCGTGTGGGCCCAATCAGTGCATGAACAATACAGGTGCCTGAAGAGCCATCAAGGGCGGCAGAATATGTGTTGGCCGAACTCTCATCGAAGGTCCTAAGTTATGGTTCCGACTCGAATATTGTCGGAGGTGTGGTGAGCCGGTCTTCCTCGTTGTCCGAGACGGGCTTGGCCGGCCTTTGTCCGGATACTGTGATTCAGGCGTTGGCATCGAACCTCCAGTCCACAGCGCTAATAGTCCACGAGGGACTGTAAGACTGGCAGCAGGGAGTGAAACCGGTGCCGTACGTTCAAGACTTATGTGGAGATGCCAAGGATGGTTTCCCAAACGGAACAGGTTTTGCCCAGTCATCTTGTCCTTAGACTTCGCCAGCGAATTCTCGAACATGCTTCCACCTCATGACTTTGTCATCATGTGCCCAGCCTAAGATTGAGTCACTGTAGTAGGCTTGCTTGCACCAGCCATCTCATTGTAGCGACTAGCAAAGACCTTGCTAGACTCAACGATCAAGTAGTGACATGCCGGCCGGATAGCGAGAGAGCACAGACTATCGCGATGTGGCCATTGCCAGCAGTAAGTGCGTAGGCGAGATGTGCAGATGGCAGAGATACGCGCCCTCGGATGCCCGTTGTAGTTGTTTTCAGAGGCATCCAGGTAGCACATCGCATGGACGGAGTTGACAGGAAGGCGAGGAACATCGCTAGGATTGACCGGCAAATTGGATTTGCTTCGGATGTCTTCGCAGAGATCCAGACGAAGGAAGCTTGTTTCGAAAGGGACTTTCTTAACCCATTCAGGCGCGGTGAAGTGATTGAGTAAATCACGTCGGCAGAGTCTGAGGAGGCCAACGTGGCGAAGTTGATACTCTTAAATGAACGGATCCTGCAGGTCGTGTTCGGTGCAGAATCTGTTTAGAGTGATCTGCCATAAATGCAACAGATCTGGGCTGAAAGGGTCCCCTGCCAACGGGGGTGGCCGAGTCAGATCCCAACGTTTTCTAGCAGCGCTTTCCAAATAAAAGCAATATATACATCGTCAAGGAACCAGCGCAGTCAGGCAGACCACCAACCTTAGGTAGTAGTTCTCGCGGTTCCAATACAGGTCCCAGCTTTGGCCGGTGAATCGGACTTTCAGACCGGCACGCATGATAGCTTGATCTTTCTTGGATTCTGCTCTGAGAAGCAGAATGCAAAGGCAACCTCGGCACATCCTGCTCCATCAGGTGTACTCTTTCCGGACCCCATGCCATCCGCCAGGAAGCCACCGGTCTGAGCTCCATTCTCCCCTTCCGAGAATGGAGCTTGACAAACTGAAAGGTCACTCCGTCGGTCAGGAGCCCATGGACCGAGGTGACTGACCTCTTCCGAATACTAGCCATGTATCGGTCCAGCTAGCTTGGACCATCTGGTACGTCTCCCTCCGGCGCTTGACTTCAATCACTGCTCTGATATCCTCTTCGGACGCTTTCCCAGCCATTATAGCTAAGCCTAACCGCCCAGCATAAGTCCTGTCATTGACAGTGTCCTCGTATGAGCTAAAGTGCTCTGATCGTCAACAAGAACGAAGGACCACGGCGATGGAATCTTCGCGCTCCAGAGAACCGTGCTGTCAAGTGTGCAGGTACTGTTGATATCCTTAAGCGCGAGGCTATAGGACTCCTGGAACGCTGTAGCCGGAATCTTCGTACCTGGTATTGGGATTTCGTCACGAAGGTGCCGACCAAGTTGCGAGTCTTTTGGAATGTTGAAGACGTTAGAACGCGGCGAAGCTCTCCTCGCTCAAAAGGTCGATCGACAAAGAGTCCATGAAGGCGTCGTAGATGTTGCTTTCTGCTCCGGTGACTTTGCATGGCATCGGGACCGTTAGGCGTGGCAGAGAAGTGCCACCAGGGCCTTGGCGATGACAGAGGGCGGAGACAGATGCTGGCTTGGCCGCCACTTCTCTGGGTACGGGCCAGGCTTGGCTGCCCCGCTGCTGGTGGTCGGAGCGCGGACCTGCGCTGTGTGGGTATAGATCATACTTTCCAGCTGGCCGCATCGCGGGTTCTCCAGGGCCCGGTCGTTGTGGCGGGCCCCGACGAAGGTGGCCGAGATGTCCCAGCCCGCACTCGACAGCGACTGGATGCGTTGTGCGTCATCACAACTTCCTTTGTCTAACCGTGGATGGCAACATGTTGTAAGGCCATAATAAGCAGCTTTTATGCAGCCAAACCTGGATTAAGCGTCCGCTCGGGGCCTGCAAGCGGCCACCCTCCCACTGGGGACAGGCGCATGTTCGCCATTTGGCACCACATCTGCAGCTGAACTGCGCGACGCCATTGCAACTATAGCCAAATAGTCAATATTGGCATCAAAAGCTTCAAAATCAGTTCGAGGGGCACCTACTTCATATGATTGCATTGCGGAGTGAGCTAAACCATCGACCCGGAAGCATAGCACGGTTGCCACCCTTCCGTGTGAGAGCCAGGGGACTTTTGCGTTGGTCCCAGCAAGGCGCATGCACAGAGTGGAATCAGCATGAAAGCGAGGTAGCTGACGAGCCGCAGAATAAATCAGGACTTTGTTCCTTTCCCGGTGCACTATGGCGATGATCCCGTCTCCCGGACTCCTGTAACAGCGTTCCTCCTGTGCTTTTCTTCTCCACGCCCCGTTCCTCATCTCCCTCCTCTTCCAACCTCGCCCCGCCCTCTCTAACGGGATGCAACTCGCACGAAGACCTCCCAAATAAGTGCCCATCGCAGCCCTCACACGTATGTGTCCTAGGCCCATGTGACCCTATGATGTTGACGCAGCAGTGGTAGCAAGACGGACTTCCTTAGGCACTGAGCGCGGCGTCTGCCAAGGGAGGTTCATGCACACTGGCTGTCGGGGCTGGTATGGATATTCGTCATTGGGCTGCCTGCGTCCGCGCTCTTGCCGGAGGGCGTGGTCTGAGCGGATGGCGCCCTTTGGTCGTGGGTCTGTTCAAGATCGCCCTTTCCACTAAAGATCAAGGAGAATATCTGCGTCTGGATTGGGTCCACGGCACTGTTGCCAGTCTTGCACATCGGTAGCATGTCTTATCCTGAACCCGATGCGATGAATTAAACCCATCCACGGACTTTCATTGCAGTTTGAGCAGAGCCAGGTTTGCCGAAAGGTATCGTGTTTTGACGAGCCAGGTCCAAAGGAAATTATAATAACCTTCCACTTGGCAATGCAGAACCATAGCCTGGCCGCTTGGGCTTGAACTGAGGTGCCGGGTGTCTCGTTGCAAAGCCAGGGAGTATTTGGTGTTTGCTGGTCTATCGGTCGAGTTGAACACCAGGCCCTGGGATCGTTGCCTGGAGTTCAGCGCGTCACCTGTCGTGGAATCGACTGCGCGACCTCTTCCGCCCAGCGAATGATACATGGTGTCTTTAGCCCAAATTGCCAGCACGAGAGAGCAATTGTGTAGGGCATCAAAAATACCCAGACAACCGTTTCTCGACTTCAATCTTTGGTCTGAACTAGAAGGTCACACAGAGTCTCTCCCTGGCAGCTTCTGCCGATCAATGGAAGGTCTTCAATGCTTGAGCCGTGATTATTCTCCCAGAATATCGAGGACGCAATCCCTGCTTTCAAATTTGACCCCGAGAATGGATCCAGTCCGGCTTCGACATCAGCCTCGCATACTTGATTCTGCACAGCATCCAGTCCAGTGTGTCTATCAAAATCGCAAGGAACGCCGGGGCAAGCGGTCCTCGTAGGCGAGCCCAAAACGTCCGGTTCCGGCAGGCCGCAGTGCACCTGTCCGGCGATGATGCGGTCGGGTCGGGTGGGATGAATGCGTCGCACGCACCATGACTGGGTATAGTACCCGCGTTGGTGTTTTCGAGAATTGTCAGGTTCGCTTCGGGCGAGTGAGGATCTTGGACGAGTGAGAGGGTCCCGCACTCTCTTCACCGCAGTTGCCTCACAACATCCATGATTCCATGGGTCGGCCACGGTGGTGCGGCGGACGGCCATACGAGTCACTCTAATCCATTGGGAAGAGACTCGCCCCGTCTCCATTCCACTGGCAAAGCTCGAATACCTCCAAGACATTCCACAGATCTGGATTTGTGGCTCGGCTAGGAGTCTGTAAGTGCCTGAGACTAGGGACTAGAGACAGGCGAAATCTCCTGGCGGGGGTGTTCCATCCCAGCTGCGACGCAGGAATTCGGCTTGCGGCGTAGCGTAGGCGCTCGTATGAGTCGGGTCTCCTAACCGCGTGTTGTTACAGCTTGTGACAAAAGCTGGCTAATCGACGTGGTAGTGCCGATGAGAATGATTGAAATAGAGATAGGGTGAGCCCGTGATCTTGCGCCTGTGGTGGTGGCCGTCTTGTGCCCGCAACCCTCGCCCCAAACCAGACAGCCTCTAACGTGAAGAGAACGAGACAGAACGGCCATCGCGAGCTCTGGCCTGGTCCGACCAGACTACACTCTTTCAGCTCCCGCGAGGCATTGTTTTGTGTTCGACCCAGTCTGTTTATCTGCAGCAGCGGCAGAACGATCGCCAGGGATGTTTCTGCAGTGTGTAGCCTCGCCTCAGGAATCTCACGAAGGCCGGACTGCAAGAGACAAAGCATCAAATCCTCTCATCAGCTAAGATCCCGTGCAGTGTATTCAGTAGATGAGGCCGCAATCCCGTGCGTAAGAGGTCTGCCATTCCACGGAAGCCGCCTTACTTCTCCCGGTCTCCGACAGATCTTGACCTTTTCCGACAGTGATATGGGAGACTCGTCTCCTAAGTTCCGTCTTCTGACATAGTGTTCCTTTAATTGAATGTTCCTCTGATCAAACGTTCCTGCATCTCCCCCAGTCCATCATCCTCTTGCCAGTCGATGAGGACACTTGAATATAGGACACACGTTCTCTCGTGTCTTTCGCGCTCATTTCCCGGTATGGCCTTGCTGATCCCGCGCGGTGGCGATGTCTCGACGGAGTCATGGGTGATGAGATTTCCCTAGAGCCGAGGCATAGTTTAGCGGTAGATCGTTTGCCAGACGCGGGTCTCGTTGCCATTCCTCTGTCAAAGCTTGCGCTTTGCGTAGTCCAGAGTCTCGCTACAGAACAGGGCTGCGTCTCCCTGATTGACCCCGTTTCCGTGGTGAACCCCGTTCTCGTGGGTTGCTCTGGATTTGCCATGATCTCCAGGAGCAGAACCCCCGGCGTCATGCCATATTTCTCCAACTATCGATGTTGAGGATGGCTTCTGGTTCTCCCACGTGGATAGCCTCTTCGCGTACTCGGCGGGAGGTTCAATGAGTACGGCCATCGATGACATTCTCGCGAGTTGTTGTGGGTTTCCTTCCCAGTGCTCTGCGATGGAGAGAACCAATAACACGTGTGCAAGAACAAGCCTGCTAATGAGACGCCCAAGAAGATGGGACTGTTGCGTAGAGAGACCTTGAAATGACACAGCCATGAGGAAAGGCTCGCAGGCCTTGGCCTGGGCTTGTCGCCAGAGTCATCTAGGTAGAGCGTCCGTCCATCCCACGGTAGCCAGTTGTTTGGGCCCTCATATCTGTGGAACATGCGACGAGGATGAATCGAAAACAGGGCGTTGCTTGGAAGACAGGTCTGCGCATCCCCCGCATGAAGAGCTGTACTCGAGAGGGCAATCGGTCGGCAGGACCGGTGTGTTATGCAGGACCGTTTACAATGTCCTGTGTCAATACTCCCAGGGTCCCGCAGGTGCACTGACATCAGCAGCCACTGCAGCTTCAACAGGCTCCGCAGGCTCAGTGACTGAACTGATGAAAAGTTGGAGAAAGTGGTTGAGGGAAAGCCTGTGCAGCTTTGTCCCAATTTCGATCTGACATAGCTTGGTCCGGTTGCTGGAGCATGTGTTTCCACCACATTCGGTTACAACTCGGCGCTGGATTGCGGTTTGTAGCAAATGCGTGGTACAAGCCACCACAGACTCCGGAAGACCTTCCCCTTTCCTCGGGTAGGACTCCATGTCAAATGGTTTGGTCGGTAGAGTCGTAATGCAACGACTGGAACGAGGCGAGCGCACCGAGGTGTTCCGTGCTCGCAGTGTGCGTGCAGTCCGACACATCGCGCTATTTCCGGAGGTCGGCTGGCCTGATCACGGTTGTCCTCAAGCTCCTCACTCACAACAGCACTGCACGAGACAGCCCGCGCAGCACAAGCCGTAGAGGGAAGGGGCTGCATCTCGTCATCCGTGCCGTCTGACACGATGATGGTGTGTCGATCATTGTGTATATGGGTATACACTCAGACGTCAGGTGTAGACTCCATTTTGGTGGTGGGAGTGGACGACATGTTGGAGTATGATATGAGCGATCAAGGAGCTCGAGAGGCAGTACCGATTATTTGATTCGAAGCCTGCTTAGACGTCGGAGAGGTTCAACTTCCTGAGGTGGTGCGTAGGGCGTGGAGATGTTCCAGCCTTTCAACCACGGTTGAGGGCTCAGACTAATTGTGAAGATACTGGCCCCCAGTCGATCGCTGTAAGCGAAGAATCCAGAGGACGGTGCATCAATGCTCAACTGTTAAATCAAGCGGTGCAAGCATCGAACTATCAGTCATCAAAGCGTCAGTGAGTTTGTTCAACAAGCTCCCTCCCACTGCAGCTGGAACGATCAGGCAAATTGGTGATGTACTTACTGTAAACCCTCCATGTGTGTTTCAAGCTCAAGCACCGACAGAATTCAACTCTCACCTCATCCTAGATGGACCTCTATCCTCCCCGCTGGTCGATGCGTCCATCGACACGGCATAAGCACATGCCTTGAAGCGCAGATGGCTTAAACAACAGCCTTCCGGTCCAACTATCGACTGGCAAGACAGCTCATGTCAATGCATCAGCACCAGCCCGAATTCTACAAAGAAACGGCACAAGGAAGATTGTATCTCGCTCAGTGTCAAATATCGCACGACACAACCTTTAACCCGACCGGGATACCAGAGAATTTGGGCTTCTGGCCGAAATGCAAGGCGAGAGGACTACCGCGACCGATCCGTCTGACGGTCAGGAGGCCATCTGGCTGCACCGCGCCCCTGTTCCATGCTCATCACGGAACAGTTCGCTCGTAAGTAAGCTCGGGGTATTCCTGACAGTCCGATTGCACAGACTCCACTAGCACCTCCTGCTACCCGCGCCCTTGTGTGCAGCATCAAAGGTAAGCGAGATTCCGTGCAGCAGGGTGGACCAGCGTCCAAGCCCGGTCTCGAGTACTCTGCCTTACCGAAGTACTCTTCAAGAATGCCGGGTGGAAGGGACTGGAAGCATCCGGCACTGAGAACCCCGTGGTTAGCAAACATCAGCAGCCATGGTACGAGTGTGCAACATCTTACCAGAAAGAAACCCCAACCTGTGCTTCCCAGTACAATACACCAGACGTCCTGAGGAGAGGGAAGACAACACCTCATCTCGAGGTAGAACATGCTGAGATGCAGTGTACAACACAATAGAAAGGTTCTCGTGTTCCTTGTGGAGGGGGGGGGGGGGGGGGGGAGACGAAGATGATTTCTAGATGTGGTGTACAGAGAATCTGTTAGTCCAAGGCTTGAGCTGGGTAGGAATAAGAAACTCACGGGAGGATACGAGTATTCCATTCGGCGAAGGGCCGGGTGTCGCCATTCACGGAAGTGCCCTAAGATGGCCCGGTGAAAATCAGCAAGTAACGGGACTTCTTCTACCTAGTTAGTGAAGAGTCGACTGCACGACGGGGTCATAGTCTCACCTTCACGGGGCACGTGGTCTCTGGATTGGGGGTGATTCCGTGGACGGGTCAGAGCCGGTTCCTGGTAGGGCTTTGTAGAAGATGGTAGCGGTTGTAGGAAATAGACTCCCATGAAACTGAGGTGGGACTGAAAGGAAAGGTGTACCAAGGTTCAGAACAAATGACATGCTGAGTAGCAGTTGACTGACAGAAGATGAGAAGTACAGTAAGTAATATATATACAAGAAGAGAAATGAGAGAAAGCTAAAAGAAAGAGAGATGGAGACAGAGGTATGTTACTGGAGGCGTATATATAGTGCACAGAGGGAAGTAAGAGAGAGTGGTGAGAACAACAAAACTTCACCTGCTCCGGGTCAAAAGTACAGCCGTTAGTAGAATGCCATTCACGAAAGTGGGCTAGAGAGTACAGTGTCAATAATGAGAGTGGATAAAAGCACAGCCGTGAATGGGAACTCTGTTCAGAGGGTACAGTATTAATAGAGTAACTGGGAAAAGAGCATGGCGGTGGATGGGAGACGGAGACTAGAGGAGAGCACACCCGTTAATCGGAAACTAGGTAAGGGCATGGTGTAAATAGGGAGACGCGGACGCAAATGTGCAGCAAACGCCCAGCAAACGCCAACCCAGCCCAGCCGACAAGGGAAAGGCCCAGATTCAGCCCGGTGGGTCTCCAGGCTGGGCAGCCCCACTGCCACAATGCTTGCTCGTCATGTTTGACAGCGTCTGCAGGCCGGAATCAAGCAATTGCCAGCTGCCACTGCATACACCTTGTCATAACCACCATCATCAGACGGAAGCACCGTTTGCCCACCCCCAGCTCGTCAGCTCCTCGTCAATCTGGACCTCCAGGTGCCCGATCATGACCCTGACCCTGCATCACAAATCGTCGGAAGATCCATGACTGAATCCGGGGGTGACCGTTGTCGATCCAGCCGTCCAGGCTGATGATAGGTGCACTGCGTTTCCCGCGCTCCACTGCTTGCGTTTGAGGTTGATGGAGGTTTCCGACTAGGGTTGAGGTTAACCGGCTAAGAGGGTCTGAGGGTCTTTCTTTCTTTCGTTTCTTTCTTCCCTCTGTGGTCTGTCTTTTCTGTCTGTCTCTATCGCCCTTGGTTCTTGCTTTCTTTGCTATTGCCGCTGAGCGCGTTTGTCCGACCCCGCATACTCCAGCTGCCCAGCTACGCCATCACACCACACCCAGCATGCGGATACCTCTCCTTCTCGCCCTCCTGCTCCAGACCATCGCGGTTTCCAGCATAGGCATCAGCCTGCCACCGCCTCCCCACGACCCTCCACCCACCGACCACGCCGTCCAATTCCCGTGGAAATCCCAGCGGGCCACCGTGGCCGACCACAGCACCAAAACCCAACTCTACGCCCTCGCCGCGCAGCAACAACAGCAGCAGCCGCACTTCGCCCACTACCTGCAACACTACCTGGGTAACACGGGCACGGACGCCGACATCTCACCAGACGAGCTGCTGGCCGCGCTCCCCCGCTTCTACGAGGAGGTGCAAACGCTGGTGACCTTCAAGGCGCGCCTGGCCGCCGCGGATCTGGTCGCGGGCGTGCGGCCCACCGTCCTCTTCAGCAGCTTCTGGCACGAATACGCCACCACCAGCGAGGAAGGCTGGGATTGGTTCCTCGCGCTGGATCGGTTCCGGTATAGTGTCACGGGCGCCGTGCAGCTCGCCGCGGACAGCGCGGAAGAACCAAAAGTGCAGTTTCGGGTGGATGTGCTGCGCACGCTTGACTTCTCGGCCGGCCGGGAGATCGTGCTCGGTCGGTATGAGTATCGCGATGCCCAGCTGGTCGACTTGCAGGTCAAGGGGCTGGCGCGGGAGTTTGTGATTCGGGGGTCGAGCCAGGGGTATTACCTGGAGCAGCAGCAGCAGCAACAACAACAGGAGGAGGGGGATAGCACAGTGTCCGTACATCCATAGAGCAAGCAATACCCCGCTTCATCCACGAATGGAAGAATTGCACCTGCACTGCAGTCTCAACCAATCCAACTGATGGCCTCACACCGGCCCAAACTGTCCGCAACCGCCTGGATGCGATGCGTCATCCAACCGGACGTAAACCCGTCCGCTTTCTTGCCCAGCTGCATCCCCCTCCCTAACCAACACCTCCCATCCGCGACCGCAAACCGATATCCGAGACACAGCGCCTCATGGGCACACATCTCCCTACACTCGTCCACGGTGGCGGTCTGCCCAACCTCGTCGCCCACCAAATTATCCCACCCTTCCCTCGAGGCCTGGATCTGGCCCCAAACCACCCGCCAAAACACATCCCGATAAACCATCACCCGACCAGCATACCCATCGCGCTGCCACCCCTCCTCCAACTGCACCAAACCCTTCAAGTCCGCCTCCCCCTCCAAGTGATGAAACGACACCGCGGGATAACACCACACACGATCGGGGGTATCCGCACGCACCGCAAAGAAATCCACCTCCGAAGGCGGCGCGATCTGCAACATGGGCCAGCTCCAGGTCAGCGACACGCCGCAGCTCTCCAGCAGGATGCCCAGCAGACAGTCGCCAGCCCAGTGGGCGTCGACGGCCGTCTCCCAGCCGTCGCCGCTCTGCGCGCGCAGATCGCGGGCGCGCTCCATGGCCGGCCGCGAGAGCACGAACCCCGATCCGCCGTGCGCGAACAGCGCGTCCACGATCTGCATTTGGTTGCCTAGGTACCACGGCTGGTGCGGGTCGAAGCGCGCCAGCCAGGCGGCCAGGTTATGCCAGAGGAGGTAAGTGTCGGCCTCCATGAAGACGAACCACTTGGCGGACGGGCGCGCGGCCAGCGCGGCGTCCACCATCGGCAGGAATTTCCACTTGTCCAGCTTCCACCCCGGGTTGTTGGGTTTGCCGATCGGCGTGTTGACGTCTGCGACGAGGTCGGCGGGCGTGAGGCCGCTGTGGCCGGCGAGGCGGACGCGGTTGTACAGGCTGAAGTCCGGGTTGGTGGATTTCGTGGTGCTGGAGATGTACGGGCCCAGGATGTCTTGCGTGGAGACTGTGGAGGAAAGGCGCTCGGCGTAGTCGGAGTAGATCACGTAGTTGGGGATGCAGCGCAGGGTGGTGGTCAGGTGCGGGGGCACTTTCGTGCGGGCTTCGGTGATGCCGGTTTTGAGGATGACCAGCACGTCATTGTAGATGGGGGGGAGGGCGCAGTCGGTGGGGGTTGGATGGAGAGGGAGGAGAGGAGGGGAGGAGGAGAAGCTGAAGGAGTGGTGGAAGGTATAGATAACCGCAATAATGACAATGGCGGGGAGAAGGCGCCGGAGTCGGGGTGACATGATGATTGATTGAGTGGTGGGATGCGATTAAGATTAAGGGGGTGAAGCCGTTCAAAAGCAACAAATGAACGCGAGGGGGGAGATTGGCTTATGTAATACCCATGCCCCGGACTTACGGATTGGCCGGGCCCCGTATCTCCGCCCGCCTGGATTGTTACTGCAACGTTGAACTACCGCAACACAACCTCTATCTCTTTCTCTTTTCCAATTTCAACTCTCTAATACCATCTCAATCCACCATCTCCCATCACAATCGACTCCGATTCAACCCCTGCACCACCTCCCTTGCGCCCCGTCGCCCACTGCGCACCGCCCCCTCCATATACCCCTTCCACTCCGCCGCCGTCTCCGTCCCCACGAAATGCACATTCCCGACCGGCTCCCGCAACGCGTCGCCCGCCAGCGTCAACACCCCCGGCGGCAGCGCCGGACACGGACAGCCCCAGCCCGACAACTCCTCGCCGCTCCACTCATGGCCTCGCGCTTCCAGAAACTCGTTGGCAGGGAGATCAGGCTCATCATAGATCAGGCCCAACTGGCGCAGCAGCGCCTGCTCCCGCTTTCGGGGGTCTTGCTCCCGCGCCCACTGGCGCCCACTCTCGCCCGCCAGGAACGCCGTGAGCACGTACTTGCCATCGCGGGGGCTGCTGGTGTCCCGGTAGATGGACGCGGGCCCCTTGAACGACTGCACCAACCCACAATAGCCGCGCTCGACCCACCACGCCGAGCGGAATACCAGCATCACCTTGGTGTAGTAGCCGTAGCGGAACGAGTCGACCAGCAGCTGCTTTTTGGGCGGAAGTGGCGGGGTGAATTGGATGGTCTTGAGGACTGGGGTTGGGGCGGAGCAGATCACTTTCTTGGCGCGGATGGCGCGGCCCGTTCGAGAGAGGACCACTGACCCGCTAGATCCGGCTCCAGGGGCGCTTTGGAGGATGGCGTCCACGCGCTCGCCGAAGTGGATTGTGTTCGCTGGGAGGTCGGCGGCCATGGCCTTCGAAAAGCTCTGCGTGCCCTCGCGGACGCGCAGGTACTGCGCCCCGTGGCGCCGGTCGGACCGCATCTGGATCAGGCCGCCGCCGGAGCGGCAGTAGTTCAGGAAGTAGAGGGCTGAGATGTCCGTGGGCTCTTGGCCGAGCATGGCGCGCGTCCAGACTGAGGCAGTCGCCAACGCGGTCGGGCTGACGTGGCGGGATTGCAGGTAGGCGTAGAAGGAGAGCGCGTCGAGGGCGGGGTCGGCGGGGTTGCTGCAGGAGAGCGCTTGGCAGTCCGCCTCGCACATTTCGCGCACGTTGTCGAGTTCAGTTTGGATTTGCGGCGTGATCTGGGGTTGTTAGCGGTACGTTCAGTGCGCCGGCGAGGGCGGTGGCAGCTTACGCATGGGGTTTGGCCGTAGGGGAAGAGGACCGTAGGGGCGTCGTCCGGTTGCAGCAGACAGTTGCCGGTGGTGTTCTGCTCGATGAGCTCGACGCCGGCGCGTCGTGCGAGGGCGATCATTTCGGTCTGGTTGGTGTCGTTGATCCACGCCGCGCCTAGGTCGACAACCCCGGTGCCGCTGGGGAGGGTCTCACTCCATGTTTTCCCGCCCACACGGTCACGGCCCTCCAGGATGAGAGCGGAGAGGCCAGATTGGAGGACCGACTCGGCTGCTGCCAGACCGGAGAGACCTGCGCCGATGACGAGGACGTCGACGTCGGCATCGGTTGGCGAGGGCAGCGAGCGGGGAACGGCCGGGGAGGGAACTGCAACGGTCGCAGCGATCTCATATTTCCACTCCGGCACGGCCAAAGCAGGAACCGGTACAACGGTGACGGCAGGAAGATGGCCAGCAAGGAAGGTCTGCAGGGGCTTCGGGTGTAGACGGTTGGCCGCATCGTAGTTGACCACGTAGAGGGTTAGGCTGACAATGTCACCCGGCGACGCACCGGCCGCGGCGATGACACGGTGCAGGTTCAACAAGGCCAGATGAATCTGCGAAACGCCATCGGAGGGGGTCTTGCCAGCTAAGGTGCCGGGTTGGCCGGAGATGTGCAGTAGAGGGCCGTTGGAGACGACCCCGGCGGCGTGGTAGGCGGCGGGGTCCGTCACAATAGACTGGGTAGACTTGGTAGACATGATGATGACTACAGGAAGTAATGAATGTGTGGCAAAGACGTAGTAGAAGCGGGGTTCTTATATCAGGGATGATGCATGGATGCTGGATGCGCCTGCCGGTCCGGTGGGCTATCGCGGGACAATCCAATTAGGGCTATCTTATCCGGGGTGGCTTGCCGTGGGGGGCGGAGTCGGGATGACTTGCCTCGACCATGGCTTATCGTTGCGGGGGGCTGATGCGGAGAAGCCAGCAGTAGATAGATGGCCGGAAACACAGCATGAAAGTGGAAGTATATAGCCAGCTCGTTCAAGGATCATCACCAACTCGTCTCCCTCGTCTCCCCCATCTCCATCTCCCTCATACACAGTCAACATGGCCAACCGCGGCAAAGTCCACGACCCCAAAGTCCTCACCATCGCCGAACTGGCGCTCGAGGCGCAAAAGCGCCTGCCCCCCGTCGTCCGAGGTCAGCTCCTACTGCTCTTACCCCTCAATCCCTAACCCCAACCAAGCCTAACAGAAGGAGACAGACTACTTCAACGAAGGCGCCGGGGATCTAGTCACGTACGGCTATCTCCCTCCTCCTCACACCCTCACTCCCATATTGATAAGAAGGACAGCCTGCGCGACAACGAAGAAGCCTACGGCCGGTACAAACTAATGCCGCGAGTCCTTCGCGACGTCGCCGACCTCGACACAACCACCACCCTATTCGGCAGTAAAATCACCTTCCCGTTCGGCTTCTCCCCAGCCGCAGCCCACAAACTCGCCCACATCGACGGCGAAACCGGGACATCCCGCGCAGCCGCCGCACATAACATCCCGATGGCGCTGTCCTCGTGGTCGACCTCGAGCGTTGAGGAGGTGATCGCCGCCAGTGAGGGCCAGGGGAATCCGTATATCATGCAGGTGTCGTTCTTCCAGGATATCAGTATTACGGAGAGGATTATCAAGGCGGCGGAGAGTGAGTTGGGCCCCGTCTGTCATCGTCTGGAGTCAACGCTGGCTGTGCTGCGCACACACAATCCATGCTTTGAGCCCAGCCCGGAGAGGGAACAATACTAACAAGTGAAACCCAACAGACGCAGGCTACAAAGCCCTCTTCGTAAGCGTCGACCTCCCCATCCTGGGCAACCGCCTCAACGAATCCCGCAACAACTTCAACTTCCCGCCACATTTGAAGTTTCCTGTGCTGGCCGGCGCGGCGGAGATGGGGCTGGAGGATACGTATGAGCGGGGATATGGTAAGCCTTTCCCTTCCCGTGCCTTCCCCTCCATTTCCCATAATCAGACCCCCACACAATCCAATCCGGTTCTAACAAAAAAAAGACGCCACAATCCACTGGACTAAAACCATCCCCTGGCTACGGCAGCACACCAACCTCGCCATCTGGTTGAAGGGCGTGTACGCGCCCGCCGACATCGAGCTGGCCATCCAGCACGGCGTGGACGGGGTGCTCATCTCCAACCACGGCGGGCGGCAGCTGGACGGGGTGCCGGCCACGTTGGATGCGCTGCGGGTGTGTGCCCCCGTCGCCAAGGGCCGGATCCCGCTGGCCGTGGACGGGGGGATTCGACGGGGCGCGGATGTGTTTAAGGCGTTGGCGTTGGGGGCGAGTTGTTGTTTTGTCGGGAGGGTGCCGATTTGGGGGTTGGCGGTATGTTTCTTCTCCTTTCTTGTGTCTTTGGGGGTGGGGTAAGGGGATTGGGGATTAGGGGTGGTGCTAACGTTTGCGTGTGCAGTATAATGGGGAGCAGGGGGTGGACTTGGCGATCCGGATAATCTATGATGAGTTTTGTCGGACGATGATGCTTGCTGGGTGAGTTCGTCCCGAAACACTGGGTGGAGTGTGTGCTGACTGGATGCAGGTGTCGGACGATTGCGGATATCACGCCGGAGCATTTGGCGGTGTTGGAGAGGGGGGTATTGGCGAAATTGTAGATGGCAAAAATAGACGGTGCATTTCATACAGATACGAAGCTGGTCGCGAGCTGAATATATCCTCGGGCAGGAGTTTTAACCAGTATCTGCATTTTCTCTACAGCAGCGGGAGCGCCTAGGTCAAAGTAGGCTGTAGCTTATTACGACGATCATAGGCTCAAGTAGATAACCTCCAAGCTGGAAGTGATCCTACCCATTCCATTTCCTCGCGGTGGTTCTTGAGGTTTGCTTTAGTTGTGATATCGAGGTATGAACTACTCCCATCACTTTAGCATTGTTAGCCGTTTTATACAAATCTGGTCACCGAAACAAGGCCTCCTGCTGCTTGCTCTACCTCACATAAATCCCCTGTTATTGCCGGTTTATCCTCCACATCTTACCCTCCGCATGATCGAAAACCTGAATATCAAATCAAGACGACACACACTTCCCCCCGGCACAAACCAACGCATCCGAGCAATCATCCTCCGTCGCGCAGGAAGCACCTATTCCCATCAGCACCAACCCCGCAAACCGAAAAGACCACATACCAGCACAATGTCCCTCCCAGGAACAAGACCCCGCCGCGGGGGCACTCGTTGCAGCAGCACTCGCATTCGCACTCGCAGTCTTACTTCCCGCAGCACCAGCACTTACACTGGATGTAGAACCCCCATCCAACCCCGCCGCCTCAGCAATATCCCCCACCTCCGTCCCAATCTGCACCCGATACACATACGTATCAATAGCAACCGCCTCCCCACGATACGCCCCGAACTTGGGCTCCGTGCGGCCCGTCCACGTATTCGCCGACAGCCTGGTCGCCCCCGCATCCCCAAGCACCTGCTGCTCGCCATCGAAGTAGAACTCGACCCACCCCGGCCGGCCCGTGTGGATCACCACCCCCACCGAGTATACCGTGTCCGGGTCGACGGTGCGCGACCACTGCGGCTCCCGCCCGCTCGAACTATCGGCCTGGTACTGCAGGTGCAGCTGCCCGCTTTTGAACTCGAGGGAGAGCGGGATGTTGGCGCCGTGGGTGGCGGCGTTGTTGCCCGCGTAGGCTTTGCTGTGCTCCGAGGCCGGGATGGTTAGCGTGCCGGTCACTGTTCTCTTTGTTTGGGCGGGGCGGGGATGTGGATGTGGGGTGAGGGGGACATGGGAGGATAAGAAGGGAGCTACAATTGAAAGATCATCAGACTCTGCTCGATCACGCCTAGTGAGAACTTGTAGCCGATGTAGTAGGTCTTATTCTCTTCGACTTGGTTGGCGAGCGCGTGGTACTCGGCGCGGATGTAGGACTGTTTGCGGTGGTAGTGTAGGGCCGGGACGCCGTGCGGGTCGGTGGCTAGCTTGATGTAGAGGTCGTTCGTGTTGGCGGAGATCTTCTCGTCGCGCGCCTCTTCGAGGTTCAGGATGCCTAGGGTGGACGGGGGGTCACCGTTGGCGGCGGAGAAGTCGAGGAGGGGGGTGGTGAGGGCCGGGCGGAGGAGGATGGCGAAGGTCAGGGCGAGGGTGGGGAGGTGCATTTTGTGGTGGGTTGGTGGTTGGTCAGGTTGGGTTGGGTGGACGGGTCGAGGAGAGATCGGTGATAACTTAGGGCTTGAGGCATGACTGTGAGTCTGGGAGGTCCCAGGCTCTTATAGCAATTCAGAGTCAGGGGTTGTGGTTAATACGAACGTTCGCGTGGGGGCTAAGCGGGCCGGATTGAAGACGATCGCTGCCCGTGGTGATCATCGTTCTAACAGGGTCCAGGGTTCAGATGCATTGCTGCAGGCAGAAGCGATGGGAATTGAAGGAATGGGGCCAAGTCGGAAGAGCATTGCCTGCAGATGTGCTTCGAATCCTTTCATCGACGATCCATTTTCCCACTCCGGTTACATTTCTAGCGCCTTCGAACCCTCGGGGGGCCAAAACTCATGATCAACTTTGGACGCAACGACGGATTGGTGTCGGTAGTTGGACCGATGCAGAAGTCATGTACCAGGTTACTAAATCGTTTTGGCCTGCCATGGTTATGCTGGTCGTTAACTCGAAGGATAAACACGAATCAAAGAAGGCTTTATCCTGATCACGGGCTCTGACAAGAGGTGACACGCCTAAGGTCACCCGTAATGACGAAGACGGAACAATAAAAAGCGGACTCTATGACCGATCTAATAACAAAATCCGGTCGCATGCAGTATGCGATATTGATCGATCATATATGAAGCAAACAACATATTCTACTGTATTCCAACATAGCCATCTCGCTCTCATCACAGTTACAACAAAACAGCTACTTCTGAACCGTGTGGTCCACCGCTTCCGGTACCGTCACCAAACCCCTCTTCTCCTTCGTCCGCCACTGAATTGCCTTCAAGATCCCATACAACACCGTCAACGTCGGCATGGCCACTCCCTTGGCCCTACCCTCACGCACCGCCTCGCCCACCAGATTCTCAAACTCCGTGAACCGCCCACTCCGCACATCCACCTGCATACTCGGGGGGTTATACATGGTGATCGGATCCATGGTGATCATAAATTCCAGGGTCTCGTCGGGCAGTTGGACCCCCGCGCACGCCTTTGCCGCAGCCTGGATCTCCCGCATCGCCGGGCGGACCAGGTCCTCAATCGCCCCCTCAGCCAACTGAATCCGACCCGTATCAAGATCGGTGATGGCGCAGATCGGGTTCAGGCACGCGTTGTACAGCAACTTGCGCCACCGACTGAAAGCCACGTCGGGGTTGAACTGGGGCTGGCACTTGCCGCCGGCGCCGTAGATGCGCACAAAGTCCTGCGCGGCGGCGTCCTCGACCTCCGGAGAGAAGGCTGGGTTGCGGAAGGCTCCGATGTACAGCTCATCGTCGTCCTCATGCACAATCCTTCCCGGAGCAACTTGGTGGGAGCCGCAAAAGCTCACGCCGCTGAGGATGATGTTGGTGGGGAAGGCGGATTGCAGGGGTTTGTGGATGTTGAGGCCGTTTTGCAGCAATACGATGCGGGTGTGGCCTGGGGCCACGGCGGGATGGATGAGAGTAGCGACGGACGGGGGGATATCGGCGTAGTTCTTGGTGGTTACGATGATATAGTCGTAGGGAGGGAGGGATTCGGTGGTGAGGTCGGGGATGGTGTTGCGGACTGGTGTTGGATGTTAGTCGAGATGATTCAGGAGGCTGCGGCTCAGAGTAGGGGGAACAAGAAGGGTCCGTACGAATGGATGGTTTGAAGCCTTCGACCTCGCCGTGGTCGATGGATTTGATGAAGAAACCATGTTCCTTGACATGTTCGTAGTTGGATCGCAAAACCGCGGTGACAGTGGCTTGGCCGCCCAGTTCGAGGTTGAGGGCCCCGATGGTGCCGATGCCACCGCAGCCGATGAGGAGGACGGTGGCTTTGTCCTGCATGTTGGTTGTTCTGTGCTGGTCAGCATGATAATGTCGGTTGCGTCCGGTAGATGGTAGATAAATAATGGGATCTCTCCCAGCTTATCGGATTAGGGCTGCAGACAGGATGGTTTCCCCGCTTCGGGGATCAAACAGGCAAGTCATCCCGTCCTCACTTTCCTTTCTTATCTCCGCCTCTTCCCCCTCTTTTCGTCTTTTCTCGAGATCACCTCCCCCATTTGATTGCCATCAGTTGCCTGTCTATGAGCTTTCTTTATCAATAGATCAACTGATACCATGACCGGTGAACAAATAGCCGCGACGACTTCCCCGCATAACAGCAAGCCTACCTCCGCCCGGTCGCGGTCGCTGGGCGGGTGCGAGACCTGCCGGCGTCGGCATGCCAAATGTGACGAGACACGACCATCCTGTCGGATGTGTGAGCGAGCTGGTCTCGTCTGTGAGCAGTATGGCATTCGGCTCTTGTTTGACTCGGGGGAGAGTCACGGCTCGCGATGCCGACGCCCATTGTTCACCGAGCACTGTCGCCAGCAGATGAGCGAGCAGCTGGTGGCTAGTCTTAACCCCCACAATGTGAACACCGTGCTCTCTCGACTAGATGGGGACTGTGAGCAGAGGGACGGGGCCCCTCCGACTCAGAGCTTCTTCACCCAGTTGGGGCCGTTTGGTGCCTTTCGTCTCGTTCCATCTGAGCCTGACTCCAGCCCCATCTTGATAGACACTCTCCCAGCGGACTCAGAGTTACCACTGGTGGGAATTCCTCCGGAGACTGGACTCGACCTCGCTCTGGAGGATGCCTTTGCCAGTGACCCCTTACTCGATTGCCTCTTTGGTAACCTAGATGTCGATGGGCTGGGGGACCTGTCGACGCAGAACTTCTTCAGTGCTGCCATGCTGTTATCTGAGGGGGATGACTTCTCCTCCCCATCCCAGTCCCTCGCCAGTGGCTTGTTGATGGGGCCGTCGACTTCCTCGTCACTACGGCTATCATCTCCATTTCTATCGGCACCAAGTCTGCGGTCTCCGCCGACCGTCACTAATCGCGCACCACCCGACGCTCCTTTCCTTCTGTCTGTCTATAAGCACGACGTAGTGCCACTTTTCTCGCTGATCCAATCGCGCAAGAATCCTTGGGAGACCTTGTTTGTGTCGAGCGCCATGGAGACATTGGCCCGACTGACCATGGGCGAAAGCGTTGCGTCGACGCAGATGACGATCTTCAGCGCCATCCTTGCCGCGGGCGCGTTCGCTCAACGAGGAGCCTCTGCCACCCGCAGCTCGGCCAACTACTGGGGCGGGCAAGCAGAAGCCCTGGCAGCGGAGGCGCAAACCCACCTCAAGCGGGCCTTGCGAGACGCGTCATCGACCGTCAAGAAGGTCAAGTACAAAGACATTCTTATCGCCCTCTTGTGCATTCATACCATCTCAGTACGCATTCCTCACGATATCATCTCCAACATCGCTGATGAATCCAGGCATACCAAGGCAGCGAAGAGCGCGTCCGCCGCTGTCTGCTTGACTGCGAAAATTGGGTGCGTTTCCGTGGCCTGCCCAAACCCCGCAAGTCCCGCAAGGTCCGCCTGCTGCACCACTGCTACGTCTACCTGCGCATCTTCCACGAAAGCACGTCAGTCCTGCCCCCTGTGCCGTCAGACGGAGAGATTGATCATGCCTCGCCGGAGGCTACCGTCGGCTCCATTGCGTCCAGCCGGTCGTTCCGGCTGCGCCAATGGGAAGGCCGTCTTGACCAACGCATGGAGGAGCTCAAAGAGCCGCACCAGGGCGAGAATGACCTCCATCTGGAGATTCCCGGCCGGTGGGACTCGACCATGTACCCGCAGGTGTTTGGGCTGCTGGAGCCGCCGTTCTTCCTGCTCTCCCAGGTGACCCGGTTAGGCAACGAGCGCGACTTGGCTGATGCTGGCAGCAGCGGTAGCACGCTTGACTTCAAGCAGTTTAATGCGCGGGCACGGAGTCTGGAGCGCTGCATCTCCGCATGGCGGCCGCCGCCCCTCGCCGTCGACGTCCATGGCACTTCGGACGCGACAGAACGCGGCAACAGCCGCCGCAGCTACCAGCTCAGTACCGTGTTGCACAAGGCGTTGCTCATCTTCTTCTACCGGCGGATCTACGACGTGGATCCGATGATTCTGCAGGATAAAGCCTGGCAGGTGCGGGAGGCGCTTGCTGAGTACGAGGAGGGTAATGAGGGGCAGGCGGGCTCCTTGCGCGTGGCGGCCCCGTTCCTGTGGGCAGCGTTTATTGCCGCGTGCGAAGCGATCGATCCCACGTTGCAGAGCTGGTTCGTGCGGTGGTTCGAGTCGGCTGCCCAGCGGAGCAGCGTCGGGGTGTTTGAGCACGCGCTGGGCGCGATCCGGCTGGTCTGGGAGCGCCAGCGACAGAACACGGGCAATACGGCCAGCTGGCCGCAGATCTTGCGCGAGGAGGGGATCAGTCTATATTATATATAAATGTCTGTGCCAAGGGCTACTTATGGCCCGTAGCTTGAATGGTTCTCGTGGTCAGCTCACTGTATATACCTCCTCCCTACTACCCACCCATCACCCTCTGGTGGAATCTGTCGGTATGGTGACCCCTGGCAGCCTAACTTAGCATCAACCCTACTCCCGACCCTTTCGTCGCGCAAAGACGGCAAGAGGAGCACTGATGGATCCACCTCTAATTCGAAGGGTCGAGTTACGCCCCCTCTCCTGCAACCATGCTTGCCTCCAGTTTCGTTAGCAGCAGCAGCAGCAGTCGACCCCTTCATCATCTGCCACCACCACCGATAACCAACCACTCGGACTCATTGCCTTTCACAAACCTGCATGAGCACGACACTTTACCCACAATGTTCCTCAGAATTGGAAACATCTCATAATTTCACACTCTATGGCGCAAGACCCACCCATCGCCCCCATTCCTCGCCACGTAAAGTGTAGACGGATTGCACCTTTCTGTGGAATGTAGTGACATATAGATTGAGGGTCTCGAGTGGAGGTGGCAAAGGACAAAGCAAGGTTGGTTGTAGAAGGGATTGCCAAGGAGGGGAGGAGGGGTGCTTATATTGCGTGGATGATGGTGTGCTCCCCAAAGGTCTGCAGCATCCACAGAATGTGTTATATCCTATCGGGTCTAGATCCTAATGGAGGTGGAGACTGGGAGTATTCTGAAAGGTGGGGGTTGTGAGGATGGGGGCC